CTGGCGACCGCCAGTCGGGACACCAGGCAATGACAGGGCAAACCTGTATCGCCGGCACCAGGCACCTGTGACAGACCAGCGCATAAAGCCAGGTAAAAGCCACCAGGCGCCGAGGGCATGCTATCACCAGGGCGAAGCCAGGATCAAGCCGCCGGGGAAGCGGCGTTCTCGAGCGAAGCTCGGGCCGCATAATAACCCCTGATGTGTCAGCTCCGCCCCGGCGACCGGCAGCTGAGCTCCTGGCGGAACCCCGCTACGCCGTATCAATCAGGGACTTGACTGGCGACATCTGCTCCTGGAAAAAAGCGGTTAACGAATCAACAGGAACACTTTTTACGGGTGCTGAATCAAGAGGGGATGGCCAGGTACAGAGACGGAAGCAGTAGGAGATGCAGAAGGGGCATGAGTGCGTGAAGACGAAGCCGCCTTGGTCGCCCTTAGCTTTTTGGGAGCCGGCTCCAGCGTGAGAAGCGGCTCCCGTGGACCTTTTTTTACTATGGGCGCTTGGACAGGGGATCCTGTGCCCAGAGATCACCCCGCCGAAGCAGGTCAGCCATAGAACAGCGTGTCTATCCGCCTACGCCGAATGGTTTTAGGCGAGAACATGGCACATGCCGCACCCTCTTCCTCATGTTCCTTCTGCACTAAACAGCGTAAGCGAACCTCGTGGGTATCCCGTGCGGGAATTGCAGCAAGCCGCGAAGTACAGGGGTTTAAACTGCAACAAGTAAAACCTGTGCAGCAATCTACCTATACCCACATACAAATACATGTAAAAAGACGCATGGGCTACACAACTAATGCGACAAAGCGTAGCATGCAGTTGACAACCTAGTACACACTGCAGCATAACTAACAATTACGGGTTTTTAGCGTAATATAGAAAATGCGAGCAGTAGACATCATGCTCTACACGTACAAAGATACAAATAAAACCACTAAAACCACCTGTAACATTGAAAAACCACATGGGAAACCAATGAACAGGAAGGCTGGCGAAGGGACCTGTCCGCCATCTTGACACGCACTGGCGAGCCGACCCGGCGACAGGTACCAAGTTACAACGAGAAATTAGAAATTATGAATGAAAAATTCGTACATGCAGGGAAAAAAAAGAACCTACCAATTCGCCCATGGGCTCTTAGTGCAGGAAAAAATGGAGAACGCATACAGTAGGTACCGAGGTTGCGGCTAGAGTTTCTGAAACTGTGGGGTGGTCTCATAACTCTCTTTGTTTTGTAAATAAGGAAAAACCTTCTGGGTATGGACCCAAGGAGGAATATATAAAACGAATGGCCTTGTCGGTATCAATGCGACAGCATGGAAAGTGAGGTATGGCGAGGTGGACCCTGTGTCTAGAGTTACCTGCTCTTGGCTGTAGGGGGCGGATTGGGCCCTGTAAGTGGATGGTCTCACCAGAGACAAATGCCGTAGTTTTGTTTTGTAAATATTTTATTCAAATATTACTTTACAACTGTTCAGTGGAAATGGGAATTTAAATGGACATTTAAATGAACTTACTAATTTCTACCCATGTTAGGAGGAATATATGAAAAAGAATGGATACATTGCTGTGACCATTATAACACAATCTTTCTCTGGTTCAAATCCAAAAATTCATTCACAGGATTACCATATGAAAATATTCTGTGTCACAATAATGGTAATGGTCAGCATATCTACGATACTGAATTACACAAAAGTTAACTTAAGTCATCTGTTAAGTTTCAGGTGATATGTTTTAGTAACAAGTTTTAATGGTGCAGTTTAAAAAACCTTGTATCAAGCAAAACTTTTCTCAAGAAGTCTTTTTGAATTCTGATTAAATAGTTTGACTGACTCACTAATGAATTAAATTAAAGATATCCCCAGTGTAAATCTGACTGGGAATCCCACAAGGACTTTGCATCCCACCCTCTTTCCAAGGGATCTGACTGAGCTGGAGGTGGAATCCCACTGGAGTTTATGGTTTGGTCAGGATCCAACTCCAGTGATACTACATCCCCTAAGATCTGGCAGGTTATACCCCTCTCTCGTTTATGTCAGGCAAACCAATAGTGAAACATATATAGGTGGAAATATAATACTGATATTGAAATCAAGGGAATATTTTATTTTCTTTCAAAAATGTAAATGTTACTTCTTTGATTGGCATTCTAGTAGTTGGGTAGATGAAGAATGAGGACTATTTTTATGGATATACAACTTCCTTATTCTTATATGTAGGCAACTTTTCGACATAGATTCTAATGTCGTTGCCAAGCAAGTGATATATGGGAAGTAATTGTGGGTGATATATATACATGAGATGTTTGTACAACAGATGATGAAGTGACTCCTAGGAAACAATGAGATAGGCCCAACCCTACATTAGAAACTTCTGGTCAAGCACCCACAGCCGCCCTATGCCCGAGCCACCTTCAAGGTCCATAAAAATCCCATCAAAGCCCGCCTCCTCGTCTGCTAACGGAATACTGTTTGTCATGGCGCCAACAACCGTCCAGGGAGACAGGACGGAAAATGATCCAGAATGGTAAGCAAATACACAACCTGATTGTTGGATACAACCATTTATTAAAGCTACAGCAACAGAGCCGCTAGAACAACAAGCTAACTAACTAAGTAAACTCGCCTGAATAGACTAGCTCAGGGATCAGACCATATATTGACTGGTGACACCCAATGAGTAGGGGATAAGGACCTAACTACTGCCACTTACAAGGAGAGTATCGGGCCAATAAACATTTAACACCCCAAGTGATCAATAGGACAAACAGACCAGAACAAGATATACCATCACAAAAACCAGTCTTGAGCTCCCAAGTTCGGTCATCAGGTTGTCCCTTGATGCGGCGATTGACAACTGGTAACACGCCGACATGCACACAGCAGTGTAACTTTCCCCAGGTGTGTGGGATAACTGGCCACATCCAGCTATAACGTAACCACGTGGACGTCGCAGAGGACAATACCCGATGCGAGGTGAAAGTTTGCATCGAACCTCTGTCCAACAAAGAAGTGTGCTAAATCTTGGGTACATAAACGACTATGATTAACTTGTAAGCATATGTACAGTGAAGGGGAATGCATGTATAAGAAGAGTGTGAGCTCTACTACAATTAGATATAGGTGGATATTGAGACAATAGTTTGTACAATTTAGTAGTTAGCAAAAAACCCTGATAAAATAAGGGGTATGCATAAAGGTGGTAGCGGCATAAAAGCTTATATATCTCCCTTATAAAATCAGAAACAGTGACAGGAGTCACATATACAACAAGTGTTTGCCACTGATATGGCAATGTCCCCCGCTGCTAAAGAATGGAATATCTATATTTACTACTTTTTATTTTTTGGTCACATACAAGATGCCTGAAATGACTGGTGTATGCATAATCACCAAATGTAGGCTGTCAACATAATTGAGAACATTAGGTTCAGTGTTTTATGAGATATTGCGTTTAAAAAAGTTTGAAAAGCGGTCAAAGTGTCATGGTGTCTGCGTAATTCTTCCATGTAGGCTGTCACCAAATTTGAAGACACTGGGTACAACAGTCCATGAGATATCGCGTTAACAAGAGTTAGAAAAGTGGTCAAAGTGTTGTGGTGACCTTGAAGAAAAGGTCAAGGTCACCCAAATAAACTGGTGTCTGCGTAATCCCCTAATGTAGGCTGTCACCAAATTTGCAGATATGGGATACAACAGTTCATGAGATATCTCGTTAACAAGAGTTTGGAAAGTAGTCAAAGTGTCATGGTGACCTTAAAAATAAGGTCATGGTCACCCAAATCGACTGGTGCCTGGGTAATCCCCAAATGTAGCCTGTCACCAAATTTGAAGGTATTGGGTGCAACAGTTCATGAAATATTTTGTTAACCAGTTTAAAAACTGGTCATAGTCATAGACCCTACTTTCAAGGTCACCCAAATCAACTGGTGTCTGCATAAATCCCCCAATGTTGGCTGTCACCAACTTTGAAGACATTGGGTACAACAGTTCATGAGATATTGTGTTAACAACAATCGGGACTTATATATGTACGGACGCTGCTGAATTCATAGTCCCCCGTTCCGAGTTGCGGCGGGGGACAAAAAGCTAGTAAACTCCTCTACAAGAGGGTACATACAAAGGTGGTAAAAGAGGTTAATTACAATGCATAACAAGCAAAAAGTAGCAACAGGGGACGCACGGCTCAATTAGATTAGCTGAATAAACATATGCGCAGGCACTTGTGGCCATGTTGCATAACACACACACGAGTCGCATGACACTGTTCAGTACAATACTGCCCAGCACCTGTCAAAACTCCTTGCCCCCCTAGGAAAGACCGCCAAGTCCTTCATCGCCGTTCTGCAAGAGGATCAGCACCATCACTGAACACGGCAAGCTGCTAAGCTACGACATGGTTGATCTTTTTACCAATGTCCCCCGGGAAGAAGCCCTTTACTGTGGGTAGGTATGTTTCACTCATTCCTGTTATGTTGCTAGCTATCCAGTTCTTGGTTTAACACACAAAAAGAACCACATTCAACAAGTTAGATCACTGACTTATGCAGATAGATGCCTCAGTCTGAGAGTGTAGGTTCAAACCCCAGACAGGAATGAACCTAAAACTTATCACAATCTGTACCTTACTGAGAACTATAATCCCAAATTGAACATTTGTTGCAATTAATCACTCTGGTATTGAAGTATAGGTCACTTTTCTGTGTGACGCTCTTTAAATTGATCCCCAAGAGATCCTATTTGGGTAATTTATCACAGGGAGATCCCAGCTAGCAATACCATATCCTGGCATCCATGTCACTGTTTCACTAAGGAGAGTGAGTGAGTGAGTGAGTGAGTTGAGTTTTATGCTGCACTCAGCAATATTCCAGCTATATGGCGGCCGTCTGTAAATAATGTGATCTCGACCAGACAATCCAGGGATCAACAGCATGAACATCGATCTACGCATTTGGGGTGCGATGACAACTAAGGATACTAATGTCAATACATACTCTTGAGTTCAAGTTCAGCTTGAAGTTGTTGTCCACCTTTTTTTAGGATAGACTGGGACACTGCACCTAGATAGTAAATAAACAAACTATATAACAAGTATAAGATCATTTTCTGCTTGCCATTCAGATGCAAACTAACAACGGCAATACAAATCATCGTAAAGTTTCTCTGAGAAGATTCTGATTATTTCAAATTGATTTTTTTTTGTGGTATTTTATACTTATAACCTGACTCATGCTTAAAAATTGCTTATTGTCTCTTCTCTTATTCTGCGAATGATAGTGGAACACTTGAATCCCCTTTGAAGCTCCCTTCAAAAAAGTGGACGATAAAATCACTCACCCAGTGTTATCTCCCTTGTGACTCTTTTGGCGGAAAACACGTCACATGATTGGACATGCCCCTCACTCTCTCCTGAATATAAGCGCCCTACACCTGGATTACAGGGAATCCAGAGTGCCATGAGGGAGGTTGGGAGGGCTTACCTCATGAGTTAGGATAAGTATAAAATATCAATTTTTAAAAAAAAATTACATATTTTTCTTATCCTGACTCATGCTTAATTGCTTGTAGAATCCAACGGAAATGGTGGTGGGTCAAGCCATTCTGGATTCATTGCTGATTTACGTCCTGCATACCCCCTGAGGGAACTTCTTATAGTACTATGCTGAACCTTCCTTCCAGCTTCCTCTGATGAGTTTGGGGGGGGGGGGGGACCACAACTTGTCAGATTTTCCGGAACCGCTTCGCCTGACAGTAAAAGTGGATTTATACGACTCCATGACTTGATTTCAGCATCAAATGGAGAAGTGACCCTTCTTCATATACGAGTAAGTCCTTACAAGTATAGGGTCTGTCATTCATGGTAGCCTATCTTAGATGTGTGCACAGACTCTAAGCTCCAACTCTTCCGAGTGTCGGCTTTTACAAGTCATGTGATAAAGGGTGAGATTCATCTCAGCGTCTTTGAGGAACAGTTAATTGTTGTGCTACAAGAGGCCCAAACTGGTGGATACAGGAGACATCCCCGGTAGCAATGTCTCTGAGCTAGTGGTTGGCAAACACTGTCTCCGACTTCCAATAGCAGCCCTCCATTATTGTTGAGATGGAGCAGTTTCCATGTAGAGCAAGTGTTGACGCCAGTGCTCTGATTTCATGAGGATTGGAGGCTCGTGGTGGCTCAAGTCCCTTATAGGCTTTATAGGCTCTCATCCATATTGATATTGTTGTGCTAGAGATTTCTGTAGGTGTCTCCATAGATAAAGGGATGAAAAGGCGCTTGAATTTTTGTCTCCTCATCTTAGACCTTCGTAGGTAAATTTGTAATGCTCTGACTGGACATAAGGATAGATCCTGGGTATCCTGTGGTCAAAGGACTGACGAAAGTGCTTGGATGTGGAATTGCCTGTCTGGCTGACCGGGCAGTTGGTTCTTTGCTATGAAGTCCCATCTCAAACCCAGATGTATGATATTGCGATGTGCATCAAATCGTATTCGTTCAAAGTCCAGAGCATGTATTTCTGACATCTGAGCTGCTGTTGCCAAGGCGACCAGGAACAGAGTCTTATGTGTTTGAAACTCATAGGATGTCCTTCCTAAAGTACTGTCGGAAATAGAAAAAAACTGTTTTTAGGCTGTTACTCTGTATCCCTAAAATTTACACAACTGCAAATAGCACATGTCGAAATAACCCACTTCGGCCTAACTTGGCATTTAGTGGGATGCATAATAGGATATCCAGAGAAGCATGTTTACTCGTAAAATCGGGCGAAACTTAAAAAATATACGAATAGCTGCTGAAAACTATAGATCAGACTATAGATGGCTTTTAGGTCGCTCAGCCAGGTATGACGATGGCCCGTCGACTCACCTGGCATGAAATGCACATGCTGCCTACAGGCACAAGGGGTCATCTCAAAGATATTTTGTGCTTTTTCATGTGTGTTGACTATGCCTAATCCATTGATTAACATCTTACGTGTCTTTCTTTCATGAAGTTTATGTTAAGATATGTAAAAGAGTATGATGCCTGATAACCAAAGAGACGCATCGTATTGAATGTATGAGGTGCCATGACCACCCGATCATGAAGATCGACAGGACTGGATATTATTTGTAAATTGTTATGACATGCTGTGTACTTCCCCAGTATAATTGCCCTAAAGGATTATCTTATCTTAGCTGATATATCTATCCCCAAGCCCGAGCCCAACGATCGTCTGTGACACCCGTCGAGGTTTTGCTTTTGAGACAAACCCTCCTATCTGTTTCTTTTTATAGTTACAGTGAGGCTCCATGGTAGCTACATCCTTAATAAATTCAGCATGAAAGTTATTATTTTTCACGCCAGTTATCGTCTATAATGAATCTAATTTCAAATTGGGCATTTAAAAAGTGTCCTTTGTAATACAATATTGTCGCACACTAATTTGCATAAAGCCATGGTCTGTTCCAAATAAATCGCTTTGGACTTAGAAAAAACCCGCATTGCTCATTTCTACACTAATCTCTCCTCAGTAAAGTCCTTTTTCTACGTTTCTTATCTCTCTACCACTTAGACTTGTAGTTAGGCCTAACTTAGTAGAACAGATATTTCACACTTGCACATATCAACTACATAACTTGTAGAGATAAATGAGAAAATACAGTTTTTTTCTATTTCCGACAGTACTTTAGTGGTTCGTAAACCATCAGTTCATCACTGGTAAGATGCTGTAAAACTACGTTGAGATCCCAAGCAGGCGCTTTGAATTTCTTTGGTTGGTCTTCCAACTTTAAGGAACGTAGTAGAGCTAGTATCTCTGGTACTTTAGTCAGTTTCACAGTCTTCATGGTGATAACTGTACTGAGGGTCACTAGGTATGTAGAGAGTGTTGAACCTTTTAACCGCCTTGTTTGTCTTAGATGACAAAGGTATTCCGCCACTTGAGGATGTGTTGCTTCCATTGCCGTGAAGCCCTTCCTTAAAGCGTATTTCTCAAAACTCTGCCACTTGTTGTCGTACAAGCTGCGGGTTGATCTACTTAAGAGCTAATGTGACTGCGTTTCGCTCTGGCGGAATATCCTCTTTTCTTCAAGCAAGTTTTAATACGTCCCAAGCGTGTAGTTGGAATACTGTTGGATTGCCGTGTACTTGCATGGTGTGCGGATGAATTAGTAGGTTCGGCCACTCTGGAAGTTGTAGGGTTGGATTTCTGAGTTCTTGTATGAGGATGGGAAACCACACCCTCGCTGGCCAGTAGGGCGCGACCAAAATCAGTTGCAGGTTCTTCGTCTGCTTGATTTTCTGTAATATCTGTGGTATTAGAGCTGGAGGTGGAAACGCTTAAGCGTTTAGTCCTTCCTGGGAGATGCTTGTAGATCCAGAATCGGAGAGACGAATGTTGGTATTTGTTTATTGAACCTTGTAGCAAACAGGTCTATCAGAGGAGATCCTATCCTCTGTATGATGCATCTGAATGCTTCTGGGTGTAACATCCATTCTGTTGGAGATGGTTTTGATTGACGATATAGGGCGTCTGCTATCACTTTCTTGGCTCCGGGAATGTGACATGCTTTCACATCGATGTTCAAATTGTCTATAATGCTGAATAGATGAAAGCTGAGATCTAGCAGATTCCTTGACCTTGCTGATCCTTGTTTGTTGACGTAGAACGCCACTGTGGAGTTGTCCGTATGGATCATCAGTTGTGCGTTCCTTAGTATGCTGGACCAGTGTAGTAACGCTTTTATTACTGCTTTCATCTAAAGCATGTTGATGTGCAGATTTTGTTCTTGATTCAACCATTTCCCTGCTGCCACTTCGTTGTTTAGGTGGGCACCCCATCCTTGAAGTGATGCATCTACGTAGAGATGAGTGTTGTACTCCGGCTCTGATAAGTAGGTTCCTCCGCAAACATTCAACTTCCGAGTCCACCATAGGAGACATGGTTTTAGTCCGTCCGGTAGTCCGGACTATCTAGATGGACGTTCACAAACACTTGTATTGGGCGCAGTTGATATGAAGATACGCATCCTGTAGATCTATGCTGGCGAGGTAGTCTAATGGACGTACGAGTTGTCGCAGTTGAGGCAGATGTATCATTCTGAACTTTGCTGGGCTGCGTAGACAATCTTGGTTGACTTTCCTCATGTTGTATATATAAGTCGGAACTTTTCCCTGGAATTTTTCTTTGGTACTAAGAAGATTGGGGAGTAAAACCAGGCATGACGAAGTCCTGTTTTATTTCTTCGATCGCCTCCTTCTCGAGAAGAGTTGTGATAGCGTCAAGTAGGTTCTCCATCTGGTCGGCAGCACACCTTGTCAATGGTGGTACTGCTTGTAGTTGTATCTTGTATCCTCTGCGTAGGATCTGGGATACGTAGTCGTCCTGAAGAATTCCCCAATTCTTCCAGTAGCGTTGTAGACGTCCACCCACTGTTGAAGGTTGTATGGGAACGGCTGGGGGTGGAAGACTCCAGTCGTTCCGAACCCGTCCTTCAGTGTCTAAAGTTCCTGGCACCTCTGGATGCCCTGCCTCTTCCGGGGTTACCTCTGGGAGCTCCGGTTGGGCGACGAAAAGAATCCTTGCCTCCTCTGGAGCTGCCGTATTTCTTTTCCCTGGCTCTTTGTATTCCTGTAAACTTCGACTTGCCGGAGTAGCGTTGCGAGGTCTGACGGATAACACTGGCTAGTGTGTCGATGGACTTGATCATCATTACCTCCCTTGACTCTTTCGTTACTTCCTTGGCTACCTCCTCAATTTCCCCTGCGAAGATAGATGGTGCTGACCACAGAGCTCTGTATAGTGACTTGGTGAAGCGTTCACTCCACGTACAGGAAGATAGCAATCCTTGTCTTCTTAATAGTGTCAGTCCTGCTGATGTAGATGCCAGATGTTCGGACATGAACTGATGATCTTTCTTCTGGGTTAGTAATGCCGAGTAGATCATTCTATCTTCTTCCGAGGTCGAGTTCCTAAACTTCGCGATGAGAGTTTCGTTGATGGCTCTTGACCTGGCTAGGCCAAAGAAGGTACATCTGGTAGTTGTGTCTAGTTGTGCCAACTTCTTATCTTCCACTTTGTAAGTCCTGGCTCGGGAGTCGTTGATGATCTTGTAGTTCTCATCTATCTCTGGGGCCTTCGTGAAGGGTTCCATGTGGTGAAGAGAGAACTTCTTGGCGTTGAATGGTGGGACGCTCTGACTCTGGAACTTCGTTGCCTTCCTGAAGGCTGTGCTGAGGTTTCCTGGTACATCTGCGACAGGATCGATGGGTGGAAGAGTAAGTGTATCGAAGTCCTCGTTAGACATCCTGTACGTAAATGCTTCATTATCCTCTTTAGAAGGTGATGCAAGTTCTAATCCATTTGCCATCCAAGATTTAATCTCTGTATCGGAAAATATGATTCCCCATCATCTTCAGATTTAGAGGCTTCTAGTTCTGGAGATGGTTGCCATTCTGTCTCTTTCTGTCTCTTTGGGAGACCCTGCGTGGAGATCTTCGTGGAGACCCTTGTGGAGAAGGCGTGAAATAAATTCGGAAAAGGATCCTCCTTGGAGTCTTGAGATGTATCTCTGTGCCTTCGCGAAGGTGTAGATTCTCTTCTATGGTGCCTTCGCGAAGGCTCCTGATGGCTGTCCATATCGGAGGAGGATGATCTGCGATGCTCCGGTGAACGTCTGGTTCTGCTCCTTAGCGAAGGCTCCTCCGGTGAAGGTGTCGTGGTACGTCGTAGAGTGTGTGATCCTTCGCGCAGGCTCCCTCCTTCGCGCAGGCTGCTATCTTCGGTGGGATGTGATCTGCAGGCTGCTTGTCCTTCGCGCAGGCTCGATGTAGATGGGACCTCCGTCGCTGCTTTCTCCTGCGCGAACCTCCGTTCCATCAGGTCCAACATCTGCTGTGTAAACTGCTGCATGAAGACCCCGGGGTTGAAGCTCTGCGACGACGACTGCTGCTGCTGCTGCACTGCGGACGACGCATCTGAGAGTACCGAGGCTTCTCCCAAGGACTGCTGCACTTGTGACGATCTGCCATCTCTATCTGATGTCTGCGTTGATAAAACGTCTGACTGCGTTGAGATGACTGCTGATGTTACTGTAGATGAAGACCTCGTCTTCTTCCTCACTGGCACTTCAGGGATGAGGATGGGTGGCTCATCATAAACGTCTACTTCATCTGCTGGGATGATCTCTGTAGCGAAAGACTTCGTCTTAAGCGCTGCCCCATGTGAAGACTTCGCCGGAGTCTTGTTAGTAGACGACTTCTTCTTCTGAGAAGACGATGCCCTAGTCTTCTTCGACTGCGATGAGGTTATAGTTGATGTAGACGACCTCTTCTTGGAGCCGGAGCTGCCATCAGTCACAGCGACCTGCTCCGCAGACGCAGCCGGTAAACCACTAGAATGGTGAATGTCAGTAGGCAACAACAAACGGTTATCAACGCAATCATTTGGTTTAGACATGACTTGTGAAAGTCGTCTGGACCTGTCCTTGGCACGCCTAATAATGGAATATAAATAATTATTAAATTCAAATTCAGATAAATGCTGACAAAGTTGACAGCGAAAGCTGGAAGAACATGGAGAAGTACAATTAGGACATATTAAATGCGGATCAGCAATCGACAACCGGTATCTGCAACGACTGCAAGTTTTCATCAAATGTAAACACGATGAAAACACATGTCAACAACGTGAATAAATACAGATAATTTGGACAAAATTTCAAACCATATTGTTGGTATATCAATCCTAAAGCCGTATACAGCTAATTTAGTAGCAAAGGCCTAAAAATTAAAGGATATAATGCCGTATAGGGGACCCAGGCGCTCTCACAACCGTCCTCAAGGGCGAAGAAGGAGAGAGTGAGGGGCATGTCGGATCATGTGACACATTTTCCTGCCAAAAGAGTCTAAAGGGAGATAACACTGGGTGAGTGATTTTACGTCCGCTTTTTTGAAGGGAGCTTCAAAAGGGGATTCAAGTGTTCCACTATCATTCGCAAGAAGAAAGAGACAAGCAATTAAGCATGAGTCAGGATAAGGAAAAAAGACTTTCAGTGTGTGGACAATGTTTCATGCAACAAATTCACTTCGACTTTGTGAAAAAATACATGTCTACCTCCAACCCAGATTGGTGAGAAAAACATTAACAAGAATCTGTCAGATAAGTCAATAATGTCTCAATTTCAATTCAACTGGAAAGACATCAGTTTACTCTGAGGTGAGCAGAATTTGAACTGGGCACTGGCTGTGTTATTATAGGGTGTGGATAAGAGTGATCTCCCTTTATATCTATACTTGCATTATATAGTGGGAAGCTTTCTACATGGGATACAGACATCTGGGATCTCGAAACACACTCCTGAGGACAAATGTTGAACAAAAAAACATAGAAATACTTTCTTAAAGTATTGGCTGAAGGTTGAAATGACTTTGTTTAAACCTCTCGACTTACCCATTGACAAGTTGAGGTCCGAGTTAGTGCTGTTGACAATACAACCCGCCTTCTCCTTCAACAAATCACCTTGTTTCAGCGTCAGCTGAACCTTGCCCAGCTGGTAAACTTGAGTCAGATCTGATTTAGAGATGTGCTGCCAGTCACCGTCTTCTGTTGAACCTGTCAAACAATTTTTACCAAATCAATGTTTGAGTGATTGAGATTAGTTTTAGCAACTTTTAGCAAAATTCCAGCAATATCACAATTGGGGACACAAGAAATGGGCTTCACACGTTGTAGCCATGTTGGGAATCGAACCCAGGTCTTCGGCATAATGAGCGAATAATTTAACCACTTGGCTACCCCACTGCCCCTTCAAAGATAAAATATTTACATCGAAGTAGTCATTTTGTAAAATGTAAGCAGTATGAGTACTGATCTCTAAACTAATCTACACAAATGTGTTTCAATTAATAAAATAGATTCAGACCAGCAGATGCACCCTGTGGTTTATCCCGAAATTGTCTGCTCCTCCTATGACCTCCTTGTGAGGGCACACCAGCACCACCAGTGTCTTTCCCCTTCTGGTAGTCAAATGCCTGAAATGTACAAGAGTGGAGACATTAGTAGTTGTGCTACAGTAGACAGTATGACCGGTTTATCAATTGTATACAGATATATGACCCAAACCACATACTTCAATTGCACATATTCCTTAAAGATGATTTCACTAAATATTACAACCATACTTTAAAAGCAGTTGGTTCCAGCTGTTCATACACAAAACTAGAAACATGGTTTTATAACTAAGAAAACTCAACCAATCCCCCATATATTTTTCATAATGTTACACCAGTATGGGTGAAACATGACATTGCTTGAAGTGTGTATGATGGCAGTGGGAGAGACACATATCATCAAATTCTTCTTGGATGAAAATTGCTTCCATGATGAGTATTGGAAAGCTAAGTGGCACATCCATCTGCATAGAATCATGCATGGTGGGTGATCTTCACATACCATATAAACTCTAAAGAAACAAACATCTCTAATTTAGAAAAAATCAAAGCAGAATCAATGCCTTATTACAGAAAATAACTGACTACTAATTATTTAACAGGTATGGACTTAATCACCCAAGATGAGGAACATATGTATGTAAGCAGTGTTTGCCCTTAACCCTGAAAAGCTGCAGGCCCTGAAGACCCAGAACCATAAAAAGTTGTGGGTCCTCAACAGAATGTGCAGGCCCTATATTTTGATATGGAAATAATACTCTTAAAGTACTGTCGGAAATAGAAAAAAACCCTGTTTTTTCGCATTTATATCTACAGTGTAAGTAGTTAACATGTGAAAGTAGGAAACATCTGTTAAACTAAGTTCGGCCTAACTACAGTCTCAGTGGTAGGGAGATAGAAATTGTAGAAAAGGGACTTTACTGAGGAGAGATTAGTGCACAAATGAGCAATGCAGGGTTTTACTAAGTCCAAAGCGACTTATTTGGAACAGACCATGGCTTTATGCAAATTGGTCTGCGAAGATATTGTATTACAAAGGACACTTTTTAAATTCCCATTTTGAAATTAAACTTAGCTTCATTATAAATGATAGCTGACGTACAAAATAATAACTTTAATACTGAAACTATAAAGGATGTAGCTACCACGGAATCTCACTATCACTATAAAGAAACAGGTAAGAGGGGGTCGTCTCAAAACCAAAACCAGGACGGGTGTCGCAGACGGTGGTTGGGGTCGGGCTGGGGGATAAGTTAATCCTTTAGGGGAATTAAACTGTGGAAGAAAACCGCATGTCATGACAATTTACAAATAATATCCAGTCCTGTCGATCTTCGGGTAGTCATGCCACCTATATATTTTGAGACATTTAATACGATGCCTGATTTAAGCTTTTGTATGGGTATGGGTATCATCCTCTTTTACATATCTCAACATAAACCTTATGAAAGAAAGACACGCAAGATGTTAATCAATAGATGAAACATGTTCAACACACATGAAAAAGCATAAAATATCATTGAGATGACCCCTTGTGCCTGTATGCAGAACATGCATTTCATGCCAGGTGAGTCGACAGTCCATCGTCATACCTGGCTGAGCAACCTAACATTGCCGTCTATAGTCTCATCTATTGTTTTCAGCAGCTATTCGTAATTTTTCTAAGTTTTGCCCGATTTTACGAGTAAACAAGCTTTTCTGGATATCCTATTACGCATTCCACTAAATGCCCAGTTAGGCCCGATGTGGGTTATTTCGACATATGCTATTTGCAATTGTGTACATTTTAGGGATACAGAGTAACAGACTAAAAATAGTTTTTTTCTATTTCCGACAGTACTTTAGTTATTGGGGATGGAAAAGCTGTCGGCCTTAAGGACCTTTTGACAACAGAAGCTGTGGGTGTGGATTTTCAGTCAGCTTCGGGCCTATGGACTGACGTTACTTTTGAACACTGTATGTAAGGTGACAGATTGCATCAAGGCACATTTACAAACATAACCAGAAGTATACAGATTATTTAACACATTAAACCAAGAAAGCAACAAAGCAAGTGTACCTTTATTGTAGCAGAGTCCTTATGGTACACAACAATCTTCACTTCCTGGAGGGATGTCATGGTGTGGTACTGTCCGAACTGTTCCACTGTTTCCATCATGGTTTTGGCCACAACATCTCGCGGGTATCCAAGGTTACCCGTACCAAGTGCAGGGAAAGCAATGGATCTGTATTGCTGATCAGAAGCACTTTTAAGACATTTCGCAACCAGTGTTTGCAGAATCTGAAAGTGAAGACAAATATTCTTTGCTTGTTCACCTCTTTACTGCAAATAAAAATCTCATTAATAAAAGCTGGCCATGTATCTAGCCGTCCAAGTAGTTCTCAAGCCAAACTAGAGATCATGCTGAAAGACTTTGATATTTACATATACACGATGGCAGCCAACACAATATGGAAACAAAGTAAGCATCAACATATCACTTGCAAACTACAATCAATAAGAAGATTAGATTAGACTATTTTCTGCAGTGGGTGGTTCAATGATAATTATTACTTTCAAAAGAAGACATGGGTCCATTTAAACATATTTTCAGTTACCAACACAACAGTACAAGAAGAGTGGACTAGAATAAAGAAATGGTCAGTTCAAACATATTTCCAGTTACCATTTCACCATTTTGATCACGTGGCCAGCTCGGTAAGCAGGTATGAAATATACTCTGGCACATGAGACTGCCTGCCCCAGTGATGGCAATCTGTCCTGACTTTATTCCATCTGGATACTTGGCAGAACACTCCATTTGGATAGCAACACCACCGGTCTGGAGTATTGACATGGAAACTGCTCCTTTACTTAAATCGAGGCTGCTTGACGTAGTGTTTACGATAACATCAACCTAAAATAAGAAATACAAGCCTGGTCAAATATTAGCATTTACCTAACAAATAAAACTGATTTTTAAGTGAAATTTACACCAAATAATATTACTATTACTATTGATGAATGACTTACTGAAATGGTCTAGGTTACAGTAGCCACCCCCCAACCCCCAAACTAAGTCTTGCATCATCCACACAATGACAAAGACGGACTAGAATATCAACTTCATAACCATCATCATCCAGTCATAAATCCAGAACATACCTGTTCCTTCGCTATCTCTCCGGAGACAACGTTTATCTTTATCCTTGACATGCTTTGTGTTGGTCTTCCATGTGAAGGTGAAGGATCAGGTTGTGAAGATCCTTGAAAAACACGAAAAAAAACTTTTGTAAAAGAACCAACCATTGAAAAACTAATCTGTTCAGCAGTCTGTATCCTTGTCATGGTAAATGTACCTTATCAAGAAGAGAAGATACTGAACTTTCCATATATCTTCAAACACTAACATACAAGGTGTTATGGTAATGGATTGATCCAACATAGGAGACAGATACCAAGCAATGCATTTCTGTTGTTGGTATATGCACTGGCACATACCTGGGTTACTTAGTTTGGCAGTCTAAGTAAACTTAGGCTCAATATTATTCGTTACAGTGCTACACTGAGTCTAACAAACCCTTGTAGAAGGTCCCGTCAGCTAACCTTTGAGTGACCTATGACCCTCCAATCAAACGTGAGATGGACGAACAGATTTAACCAATCAGACAACGACTACTTGTTAGGGTTCGGCAGGACTTACAAAATGGTTTTTGGATTTTCCCTTCCCTGGTTGCTGGCACTGATCTATCAACAAACGCAAAAACACAGATATTTGACCTGCAGTATATACGCTTAGGGGTTTCTAATGACATGGTTATTATTAGCTTATATTTCTGCAAGATGACATCCTTGACTATTGACCAAAACGCTATGTTCAGCGACTGTTTACTCATTGTGTCCTCCATGTGTATCACTCGGAAGCGGTCGTGTGGAAAATAACAATTGTTTGAGTTTTTTAAGTAAAGGTTCTAAGGATATATGCGAATGTTAACTTTCGCGATTTGGTAAGCTGTGTTCTGATTGGTCAATCCAAAAGGTTAGCTGACGTGACCTTCTACTAGGGTTTGTTACTCTAACTGTATGGGTTCCAGGTTAAACACATACCAATATGGTACCCTACCACATGCAACATAAAACAATGTATCCTCAATGGTTGTCAGGGAGTGGATAAGTGAGTGAGTGGTTTAAATGACACTTTGAACAGTATTCCAGATATGTGATGGCATATAACACAGCACCAAAAACTGGATAGTAAACCATTGAAATATACACGTATATACAGTAGGAAATACATGCCATGACCGGGTTTACGTATGTTTTCAGATATTTCCTAACTTCGGGCATATATTTCATATGAATCTATACCTTTGAAACATATGCTCATCGTACATTTTCGTATGCACAAGCACCACGTTCATGTATGCCCTGACCGGATTGTCAGGGATTTCCAAATATGAATTGGAAAACAGATACCTCGGTAAATACATGATCATACAGTATTTCCAATGCATTCCTTTGAATTTCAATGGGTGCTGAAATTCGATTTCGTTCTCGTACGCTTTCGGGTTGGAAACATGTGAATTTACTTAGGTGGGGAAAACATGTAAATTTTCAAATTTGCAAATGTTTACACACCTTAGATATTTATGTATCATACCGGATTTCAGGGGTATGTATATGAACGGTTCATACACCATCATGTTACCTGTATTCAAGCAAGATGATCATATGTTTCCATCATGTGAATTACTTGGCTCATGTAATTTCACTTTCACACATTTTAGCATGCGTTTGAAATCAACGTTCACATGACCTCAATATTCTTATCACCAAAAGAGCCTGACAAGGAAAGCGGTATTACATAGCTAACACGCCTTATTAAGCTGCACTCGCTCTTGCTACCAGTATCAGTTACACCTTGTCGTGGTGTTGGCAAACCTTGTGAGGTGCATGTTTCGAGGGATTGAAAGGTTCAGTGGTGAACAAAGGGCGATCGTTGCCCCTTTGTCTAGCAAGTGTCCCAAGCTGCCCCAAAGAATAGCACTTTGTCTCTCTTGGAGCACAATCAAATATGCTACACGAACCAACTCGTAATTTCTTAAGTCTGTTCAGCTCGCGCATCACTACTGTACAATAATTGTGGCAGTACATAATTGGAATATTATTGCACTTGCTGTAATAACGCCATATATAAACTGTAAAGTTTGTTTCACTAACGCAAAAGTATACAATAAGAAACAATGCCATATCAAATTATATATTCTGTGAGACATGAAATGAAAAAATGTTTTTAGCGAGTAGCGATTATGACCGGATAGCACAGGCGGGTTCGTTCTCTGGGTATATCATAGACATGTTGGATCATGTTGTGATGTCGCATTGCTGTAAATTTTCCTGTCGAAGAAGTCATTCTCACAAGATGTATATTCCCTTGTTTGGAGAAGATCTATGGCTATTACGCCCCAGTGTTGCTAAACATCTTATAGGCCTTTAGTCTGACACAGACGCGGACATCGCATGTTCAGGTTCTGATCTGACAGGGGCTGAAAATATCATTCCGACATGAATACAATATCTCAGTGTTTTCCTAAGTAAGTAGAGATCTTTCTACAACATTGGAAATAACTGTATCGTTGTCCTTCTGATATTCCCCCGAACGAAAGCTCTACCCATTTAGGGTACAATGTGTAAGTTACAGAATTGTAGGGAATAGTCTTAAGACTTTTCTACTTTGACCAAGATTCTTGAACTTGTAGCAGTGGATTTGAGAAGATCAAAAGAGAAAAGGGTAGTCTTGATGTATATGACGGATTATATGGAGAACGTTAGAAGAACTTTATAAATACAATAATAGAAATACTGGTTATGTTTAAACGCGCACCTTCAATCTGATAGCCAGAGGGATTATTGTGAAAGATCGCGGTATGTATCATCATAAGCGGGCCAAGATAAAAGTACATGTCATTCATCTCCACATTATATCCCTTTTATAGACCGGGACATCGTTGTTACAGGTAGAGGCAAACACTTTCTTCTAAAGTATCTGCCGGTTTCACGCTACATACATGTGTTCAGATTATCGAGAAAACTAGCGACGCAAGTTCTCCTCCATCACACAAGAGACCACATAATGTATCATATGGCCTTTGATCACACATATAATTGTATAAATACCCAGTGTTTATTGATAGCGATGAAGCAACTTATCAAAATTTGACAGCCGACAGTATCATCTGCATTACTCTCTTACATAAGGTGAAATATCACAGGGTTGTCATGGTAACGATAATTTGGCATACTATTTATTGTGTTATTCTTTAATCTGTGATTAGAATTTAAATCAGTTTTGACGTGAGCATGTTAAGAAAAGAGAAGCTGTAAAACGAAATGTATTGTGATCGAACCTATAGGCCTTTGTAAAAGCGAGTTTCAAGCCACCTACATAAAAACCTGTTTTCATGATAAGTATCTGCTAATCCGTGTAGCGCGATTCCGACCATATCATGGGCATGTGTTTTGCGAATCATAATCAAACAGTGATGTTACAAGCAGTCCATGCCAGCGTCAACAACACATGCAAACAGAGGCGAGCTACCATTATATAAAACAGCTCGAGCATTCACATGATCTTAGCTAAAAAATAATTTACAGTAAATTACAGTAAACAGGTTATTCTTCATATCATAACTTTCAGTGGTGATTGTGTTTCCATCGACATGTATGAGGATGTTTTGTTGCAGTCATGATTATATGTGAATCATCACTGAAATGCAGTTGTTTATTTATCATTTGTTTATCAATTATTTTAGAAAAAACACCAAATACTCGATGTATGGTATTGTATCAATGCAGCTGACATGTATACAATATGTCCAAACATATTTGTATATGAGGAAATCACACTTGAATTTCCATGGTGGTAAGACTTCCGTCCGTAACCCCCAAAACACGTTAAAACTCATCCTTATCGGATGAGGAATATATATTTAGATGATATGATTTGACTAGAATGAAATTTAAGGGGGGATACAGGCGGACGTCTTTCCACCATATTTTGAAGCTATTGAAATCATCAAACGTCCAACGATAACTCTTCAGGTCTCATAAAAAATGAAATTTGGGCAAGCCCTCAATACCACCTAAATATAAGGCTTTGCAGCCCATATTGCTTACACGAAGAAAATGGCTTGCTACGTGCCTGGCAAACGCCACTGATTCTCCGTGACCTGGAGACACATGTGATTGAGCGTGTGTTGGGACGTCGTCTGTCATACAGACCCTGAAGCAAATATATCCAAGCCCACGCAAGTCTACAAAATGTGGCAAGTCTAGATTTCCACAGCTTCAGGAGAAAGTCTCAGGGCTCCTTTTCCTTATATAATATTCTTTTTTACTATCAACTTTTTTTCTGTAAAATATGTTCATATCAGAGACTAGTTGTTAATCTAGTTCTGACGGGTAGAAGACAAAAGACAAAATGGATACTAGTGCTGTTACATTTTTAATTATATATAAACATTCTCGTCCTTGGCTCGGGATAAATGTATATTTTCCACCAAATGTACATTAGGAGGATATGGAAATCTAGGTTAAGCTAGTTGAATCATATTTACAATTAAAAGACCCAAACAATGGTGTGTTGTTCACATTTTGGTTTCCATAGTCACAGAAGCGATATTTTCTCCCCTTCCGCCTCTAGGAAAACTCACTGCAGGGTTCGGGTTATGGAGAGCCATACCGAACACCCACAGCTGGCGGACCAACATCTCCAGTAACATTTACATCTGCCAACGCAATTACTTCAAGAAGTGGTGAGGCAATAAGCTAATGAGGCTAAGGGTCCTGTACCATGTTTGTGAAATATCTGTGATGCCTTATATGAAGTCGAACATCTAAGCAAGTCTAGCTATGTATGGCGTTAAGTCACTGCTTGAAGAAAGGCTCCTTTAGAATTTTATCTGGTCAATATTAGTATTTCCATCATATCGGAAAATACATAGACTAACGCTTAGTGTCTGAATATATATAATTTTGATAGTAACAAACAAGCCCATTTAAATTGAGGCCCAGGGAGACACGAGATACAGTCCGGCTAGCCATGGCTGCAGTTAGCTATAGATATGTTTACTTTGTAACCCGACCCCCAAAGTGAGTTAGGGTTCTTGCAGATGTTAACAGACCCTGGACCTGAGGAGATCTAGACTTGCTTCATTTAAGGCTTTAGCATTGCACACAGGGCTTGGCAGTAGGGGAAATAATGTGGTTCCGGGACTGTGAGACAGACTAAACAGTAAGGTAAATAATGTGGTTCAGGGACTGTGAGACAGACTATAAAATGCATGGCAACCTACACTTCATTGTGACTATCATTTTAAAACACAAAGGGTTATTTCTTTGCGTTAACTGACAGGCTTTGGTGTCAAATTATTTGGAACTCCAACCAAAGGTTATGGTCTGCTGTCTGGAAATATGGCCTTTTGTAATGCCATAATGATAAGTGATTGTTGTACATATGATGTTTTGAAGGATAATATCAGCGCACTAATACTTTTGCGTGTTTCCCCACTCTTTCCATACACCGTAAAAGTTAACTTTACAATATATGCCTGAAAGAAAATACTGTAAAGTAATGGGATTGTTGAATTTGGCCACGGAGGTGGTGACCACAACACTCTGGTTATACTGCATTGGGAGAGGACAGAGCTTGGCAAGAATACCAATAAATATGCTTGTCATTTAAACCTTTATCTGATATTTGTGGAATGTGATTTTATAATTGAAGATGCTTCCTGCACCTATAGCCCCAATATAGATGTTGTTAGTCAGTGAATCTTCCAAATTACTTCGTCTCTTTCTTTCAATTGAAATTAAGATCTTTGCCTTTTATCAAAATAATATATTTTCAGTCTTAATGTGCCTTTGTCGGGAATCAAACACGGGTTTTAACCCGACAGGCTTAAGCGCTTTAGCCACGAAGCCGCACCCCATCATTCCTTGATACTGTTGGTACATTTATTACACATTCAAGATTGAACCCAGTTTTGTCACCATATATCCTTCAGTTTTTATGTTAGTGACATGATCTGCACACTGATAATTTAAAAAGTGGGATATATAAATAATGATTTATTGCGATCTGTATCCAATTTAGTTTTCCATTGATCTAGTAATTTTCAGTTTCTGTTTCACACGAAATTCTAATGCAGGTACTTTTAACAGTTTCACCTAATAACAGTAACATACAGATAATACGTTTCGATTACTTTGATAGATTAATAAGTACATATTATATTCTATGATATTGAGATACCAAAATGATTAACATGATTATATAATGTATAACAAATTAGACAGCAAAAAGCAAAAGCAAAAAAGAAAACGTATGAGCAACATAATGCTGTCAGGTAGTAAGCTTTCAACAATTATCGAAACTGCTTAGTTATGAGCTAATTGCAATCACTACAATTTCCTATAGTCTGCCCAACAGATGGAAACAAAATAGGTCTAATATGAAACTTATGAGCTAATTGCAATCACTACCATTTTCTTTAGTCTAACCAAGAGGTGGAAACAAAATATGTCTACAGTATATTCCGTCGGGTAACTGAAATTTGAGAAAACGTCCGTATGGAATAATACCTGTATTCCGAATCAAAAAGAGGTCACACCAAGTATGTGCATGTTCACACATTAACAAAAGTAATTTACACCGGGAATCATTAACACATTGTAATTATCTTTTATGAAAGTATAGATAATAAAATTAGGGACCTACCGGTTCATGTCTGTGTGAACACATTCGTCTAAATCTTTGTTTTATTGTAATTAACAGTGTCTCCTTGTATAGCATATATAAGAAGTGTACCTAAGGTCAGTTATTTAAACTGTTATGTAATTTCCATTACAAAAAGTATAAATGATATTACCTATTGGTCAGAAAGACTTATCAGTACCCCAACACCGACCACCGCCACCACCCCACCCTAGGCCTACCCATGCCACTCCCTCTCCCTCGCACACACACACACTCCCTAACATACATATCGCTCTGGCACATAGACTCGATATTTGAACCTTTTAAACAGACACCATGTGTATGTCAAGAAAGACACGCATGCGTTATTAGTGGTGCTCAGTCATGGGTATCACTTCACCATGTGTTACTAATTATCTCAGTACTTTTATGCGGTGGTCGGACGCTTAACTTGAACCCTATGTGACACAGTTACATTACAGCACCATTGAAATACATGTTAAAGTAGTGCTAATCTTGTAACACTATACTTACTCATTTCCAACCATTTACGCATGTACAAAATATATGACAAACCTAACCCTGGTCATACGAGATTTCAAGGGTATTGAAATGCATGTCCTACAATCACAGCATTTACATATGATACACATGTTAGGAAACACATGGAAACAATGGCCAGATTTACACACCTGTGAAATACATGTAAATACCGAGTCGAATGTATGTTTATTTTAACACCCTTTTAAACGTGTGTAAATCTGACGGCCAGATGATACGTAGATTTCAAACGTTGTTCATATGGCCGCCGGATGAAACGAGTATTTCCTGACGTTAGTAAATTTGGGTAATACAGTCATTTTGTGTAGTGTAAGTTTGATGTGGAAGGAATTAATATCAATATATTGTTGAAATGTTATTAATAACGTAACTATTGGGATGTAAAATGAGCATAATTGTATAATCAAACGTTCTTCTGTGTTGTTTTGAAGGCTTTAGCATCTTCCTATACAGACCCCTGCCATTCTTAAAAAATCAAACAGAACGTATCACTGTAAATAATTCTAAGAATACATACTCGTATGACATCATTGCCATTTTTGATAATTCTCTGTTATGGCTGTTTCACCAACAGCTATCACTAAATTGAAATACAATTACTACATTCCTGTCCAAGCATGTACATCACTTCCTTTCATAACATAGAACATCTTGGAAAGAAGGTGGGAGGGACATACCCTGATGTAAAAGAGGTGGTATGCTTAGGATTAACAATGATAATTCCTTTGAATAGTGTTTAGTGTTTGACAATTCCTTTGAATAGTGTTTAGTGTTTAATAACTCCTTTGAATAGTGCATAATGTTTGACAATTCCTTTGAATAGTGTTTAGTGTTTAATAACTCCTTTGAATAGTGCATAATGTTTGACAATTACTTTGAATAGTGTTTAGTGTTTGACAATTTCTTTTGAATAGTGCAAAATGTTTGATAATTCCTTTCAATATTGTTTAGAGTTTGATAATTCATTTGAATAGTGCATACTGTTTGACAATTACTTTGAACAGTGCGTAGTGTTTGACAATTCCTTTGTATACTGTTTTGTGTTTGATAATTCCTTTGAATAGTGCATAATGTTTGACAATTACTTTGAATAGCGAATAGTGTTTGACAATTCCTTTGAATACTGTTTTGTGTTTGATAATTAATTAGAATAGTGTTGTGTTTGATAATTCCTTTGAATAGTGCATAATGTTTGACAATTACTTTGAATAGCGAATAGTGTTTGACAATTCCTTTGAATACTGTTTTGTGTTTGATAATTAATTAGAATAGTGTTGTGTTTGATAATTCCTTTGAACAGTGCATAATGTTTGATAATTCCTTTCAATAGTGTTTAGTGTTTGATAATTCCTTTGGATACCGATAGTGTTTCATAATTACTTTGAATACTGTTTTGTGTTTGATAATTAATTAGAATAGTGTTGTGTTTGATAATTCCTTTGAACAGTGCATAATGTTTGATAATTCCTTTCAATAGTGTTTAGTGTTTGATAATTCCTTTGGATACCGATAGTGTTTCATAATTACTTTGAATAGTGCTTATTGTTTCATAATCACTTCCAATATTGCTTAGTGTTTGATAATTACTTTGAATAGTGGTTAGTGTTTGATAATTACTTTGAATAGTGTTTAGTGTTTGATAATTCCTTTGGATACCGATAGTGTTTCATAATTACTTTGAATAGTGCTTATTGTTTCATAATCACTTCCAATATTGCTTAGTGTTTGATAATTACTTTGAATAGTGGTTAGTGTTTGATAATTACTTTGAATAGTGTTTAGTGTTTGATAATTTCTTTGAATAGTGGTTAGTTCTGGATAATTCCTTTGAATAGTGTTTAGCATTAGATAATTCCTTTAGTATTTAGTGTTTGATAATTACTTTGAATAGTGCAAAATGTTAGATAATTCCTTTGAATAGTGCATAATGTTTGACAAGTACTTTGAATACTGTTTAGTGTTTGATAATTCCTTAGAATAGTGTTTAGTGGTTGATAATTACAATGAATAGTGCATAATGTTTGATGATTTCTTTCAATAGTGTTTAGTGTCTGATAATTTCTTTGAATAGTGTTTAGTGTTGGATAATTTGTCTGAATAGGATTAAACATTTCAGAATGAATGTGGCAAACTGACAGACTGAACCTACTTTGCCCCTTTCTCTGTCTTCCTCTGTTTACTGGAACATGTCTGTCTTCAACCACACCACCTTCCACAGATCCATCTCTGTTTCCTACAGTTACAGCTTCTGCTGCAAACCTTTGCTTTACAGCCTGCATGAAGTCCTGGACTGTGGAGGCGTTGTTGTCACACACGTAGATGTTCATCACCTGACTCCCTGGAGTGTCTGTGAAATGGAGCTGTATTGCTTCTATGATGTTGTTGGTAGCTGCTGCTACTGGGTATCTATAAATACCTGTGCTCAAAGCAGGTATGGCAATGGAGGATAAGCCACAACTGTCAGCTTTCTCAAGACTGTTATATATAGCTTCTTGAAGAAGACCCTGTTCATCATTTGTCCCTCCCGACCATATTGGTCCTACAGCATGGACGACAAGCTTGCAGGGTAGGTTCCCTGGGCTGGTGACTGCAACTTCTCCGACACGTATGTCACCCTGACTCTGTCTTATCTTGTCACTTTCTGCCTGAATGGATCGTCCTCCTGCATACAAGAAATGTTTTGTTATAAGATATAGTAATTGTGATAAAATGAGAGCCAAAAGACTCTGTAGCCCTGTTACCTTGACTATCACATTCTGCAATCTGGGTGAGGTGAGGTGAAATTGGGTTTAACGTCGTGCTTTGCAATCTAGACATGGATGGACACAGAAACAGCTATGAGTTAAAGGCTGGGTAACCAGTCCGATTAGTGATAGATACAACCTGCAAAACCTACAAATGATGTTTAAGAATGTACAACAGTTCTATTTAGCATTTTGGTACACCTACAGAATACCGGATACCTACCAGCCATATTGTTTAGTGTCACGTCACCCGAACCCAAATGCTAACCCTAACCCTTACCCTAACCCTAAACCTAACCCTAAACCTTACCCTAACCCTAACCCTAACCCTAAGTAAACTCGCGTGCTTTCAAAGATGGCGGAAGGTATCCGGTATTCTGTAGTCTTACCAGCATTTTTATGACACTGTTGCTGTGATGCCCTAAACAATTATCAATGGATACTTCTGGACATTTATGTCCAATAACAGTAATCTAACACTGATGTAAAGAAAATGGTGTCTCTGTATGTTTGTCTTTTCATTGGTTTTCTACAAAATATTTATGGTTTCTCAAAAAGGAAATGCTTACTTTCAACCGAAAGTTCAACAATGACCCTTGGCTACCCTGTCCTTACACCGATGTCACTCAAATTTTAAAACCAACTAAGAACCTAACTCAAAGAGCATGTACAATGAAAATAATTCAACATTTAAAAATTCCAATCTAAATACTCATGTTGTCAAGTTATGCATATGATAAAGGCATTTCATCAACTAACAAAGCATACTATTTATTATGTTTCCATACACAAAAACTACCGTAAGCCATGCCTGCTAAATGACTACTGATTCCTGGCTGATAATAAAATGATCTATGCTTGTGACACATTTTCAAATTCTTCAGCTTTTTTTGTGTACATGATTTAAAAAGAAGTCTGTACTGGTAAAAAGAGTTTTTACATGTATGGATTTTCAAAGATAAGCATAGGGTGCACTCTTTGCTCCACTCCACAAACAGGATGTGCATATTTATTTATGTCTATGTAACAGGATATTGTGTTTATAGTTTGAGCAATACTGAGTGAGTGAGTGAGTCTAGTTTTACGCAGCACTCAGCAATATTCCAGCTATATGGCGGCGGTCTGTAAATAATCAAGTCTGGATCAGACAATCCAGTGATCAACAGCATGAGCATCGATCTGCGCCATTGGGAACTGATGACATGTGTCAACCAATTCAGCGAGCCTGACCACCCAATTCCGTTAGTCGCCTCTTACGACAAGCATAGTCGCCTTCTGTGGCAAGCATGGGTTGCTGAAGACCTATTCTACCCTGGATCTTCACGGGTCTTGAGCAATAAAGTATTAGATTTATCATTTCAAGTTATTTGATGTTCATTAGTTGTATGTGCTTCGATTACTTATCAAAGCAGTTGGTCTGTTTAGGGTGGACAGGGTATTCCATTCCTGCCTAGCTTTCAATACAATAGCCCTCAGCTTCCTGTTTGATTAACATTACATAACTACAGCTTTCCTCCATAGCATTTGCACATTTTTCTAGTGACACTGCTAACAACTCTGTACTGGAGAAGCCGCTCTACTTAGCTCAGGTTAGACATTTACTTTATTATAACCTTAATAGAATTTCAACCTATCCATTAAATATATCATAAATAATGTGAAGTGTTGTAAATATTAATATTTGATAGCAAGTAGCCAATATACCTATTAATTTATCAATATGAAATGTCTAAATATGTGAGAGCATGACTTGAATAATAGTTTGAATGTAATGTTGAACAAGAAGTTGGCTTTCTACAATATAATGTCGCCATAGTAAAATATTGTACTTATTATTTGTTTAAGAATGTAATAATCCAGAAAATACTAGTGTGGGTATATAGACACACCCCGGTGTCACCCACAGGGTATGAACACATTATCTACTATCATGTATGTAATTATCTATGTGTGATTTAAATATCATGTCTATGATCATTTAAGTGCATCATGTGCATGTTGAATTATTACCATTATGTAGTGTTTTATATATTAGTAGTAATATGAATATTGACTTATTATGAACTTGTTATGTGTAACTGTACGTGTTGCATGTTTAGATTAATGTATACCATTCTTCTTTATATTACAGGGTGATTGACTGATCAATTGAATAATTGATATATGACGTTTGAATAAACGTCACCGTACACACACCTGCAGCTTGTCATTATTATTGACACACCCCTGCAACATTTATACATGTACCTCAAATTCAAGACACACCTGAAATGCAACTTAGGTGTGATTCTGAACCCACCTTTGTCTACTATAGCCTTGGCAAGTCCACCAATGTGTGCCAGTTGTTGATTGGCTGCATTCACTATAACATCCACTTTCATCTGTGTAATGTCACCTTGACATACACTCAGAGTTCGGCCTGCTCCAAGGTCACATGTTGCCAAGGTCTGAATCCCTCCTCCTGATCTCATATTCCTCTGCTCTCCTTTCTTGCCATAGATTGGATGCTTTTGGGTATCAAAGTTTCTTTCTATCACGCACCGTCCATTTTCCTCAATATTTCTGATATGTTGATCACCTTTCTCAGACAGGATCAATTTACAAATCCCTGGTTTGCCAAACAGGTGACTTGTGTGCATCACCTTTCCTGAGATTTCCTCTAGTTTTGACATACAAATTCTTAATCCAACTTTGGTTCCTTTCACTGTAAAATCCTGTGAAGACTTTTGATATATTATCTGAACAGAGTGAGCTTGAAAAGTACTTGAAAGTTGTCTGATTTCCCCATCCAGATGCATGGTCATGAAACGTTGGATCCCCTTGGGAAACTGGACAGTGTTGCTGTACACTGTGTTTTCTTTGAGGAAGTTGTTCACCTCCTCTGCCACCCCAGCTACCAGTTCATCTGTAGCAGCTATAACAATATGAGACTTATCGTGTGCTATGATGATCTTCACCGTGTCTCCTCTGTTCTTCGTCTGGTCGTCATTGATCCTCTTCCATCCTGTAGAGTCCAGGAGTGGGACAGATTCTGGGTCCAGGTTTATCAATTGCTGGACCACGCTCTGCCTCACAATGTGAGATACATCCGTCACTTCAGCATCCGTCCTTCCATACACTTTCAGTTTACCATTGTCTGCCTCCCAGACACCAACTAGGTGTTTCAGCTTCAGTTTCTTCACGATGTACTCCCTCACATCATTCTTCTGAACAAGCATCATCTGGGCATCCGACAGATTCGACAAAGATGTGTCTTTGAAGTTAGTTGTTGTTTCATACATGTCAACTTTTGCAGATTTTACTACAGACATCAACCCGGTTAGTGTCATCACATTTTTCTTGACACAAATTTCAACTTTCAGGTGTTCATATTTCTTCATCATCTCACTGGGGAAGCCAAGAGCCAGCAGTAGGCGTAACTGCCATGACTTGAGATTTGCCACTGATTCGGTAATTTCTTTCTTCTTCCGCTCATGGTCTCCCTCCACAGTGGCTACGACCTCCTTCACCTGTTTAGACAGGTTTTCTGCAAGCAGCTTATGGCCAACCACAACTATCAGATGCGATTCATCGAATACATAAATAGTTGCCGCACCCTGTTTTGGCATTTTCATTTTCTGAACTTCTGTTGTCACATCATCCCAAACTTCCTGAAGGACATTCACCTTCTCTGTGATGAGCAGGGACAGAAAATGCTCCAAGTCCTCAGTTGCACCTTTCAGCCATGATTTGGCTATCTTTCTGGCGTCAGGCACATCTTTGGTAAGGGTGCATTCAAGAGTCACAGAACCATCAGACTCAAACTTGAGATCAGTGTACCCATCTTGCAACTGCTTTTGTAGATTCCTCATGTTAAGACTAGAATCTCGGATGAATTCCATCTTGTAAGAGTCAACATTCTTTACAGCAATAGGGGGCGGTACTTTAAACCATATGGGGTCGCTGTGTCCCCCTCCTGAGCCCAAGCATTCAGTGTACAGGGATACAGATAGCGCTGCCTTTTCCAACTTGTGGGATCTGCCCAAAATCTCTGGTATCACTGAAACATGATGAAAAACACATAGTCACATACACAGAACACAAGGAGTGGACAGTGAAAGTTACATCTCACCAACTGATAGCTTACTGGAACAAAAATACCTACAAATAGTATACAATACATTCAAAAACAGAAGAAAACATGCTGTTAAATCCCAATAATTTTCTGCCAGAAACTTTTAACTTGCTGACAAATCAGTTGACAGCTGACAGCCCATACATTTATCTACCCAAGTTGAAGCACTTCACACTTCATGAGATCACTTCCAGTTTGGAAAAATCATTGTCTGAGGCAGTATGACTTTCAACAAAATTTACCTATATAGAAAAGCATATAGCCAAGCTACATCATCTGAGGAAAGAGCAAATACATATATTTGATTTTACTTTAAAACAAACAGTTCCATGGGTCATGACATTTGCAAACAATTCCTGATTAGCTACTTCATTCTTTGGTAAGACATTCTGAGTGAGTGAGTGAGTGAGTTTAGTTTTACGCAGCACTCAGTAATATTCCAGCTATATGGTGTCAGTCTGTAAATAATCGAGTCTGGACCAGACAATCCAGTGATCAACAGCATGAGCATCGATCTGCGCAATTGGGAACCGATGACATGTGTCAACCAAGTCAGCGAGCCTGACCACCCGATCCTGTTAGTCGCCTCTTACGACAAGCATGGGTTACTGAAGACCAATTCTAACCCGGGACCTTCACGGGTCTAAGACATTCTGAAAGTATCATGGCAGTAGCTAATTAAGAGAAAGTTAGCTGTACTTCCGTTTAACAGATTTTTCCAACACCTTCCTCCAACATTATGTGTGATTAGTTCTACAAAACACTGAACACCAGGAGTGGACAGTGAAAGTTACATCTCACTAATCAATAGCTTACTGGAACAAGAATACCTACAAATAGTATACAATACATTAAAAAACAGAAGCAGCCCCATCCCTAAACATATTGCCTTGCTGACAAAAACTGGTGACAGCTGACAGCCCATACATTTATCTACCCAAGTTGAAGCACTTCACACTTCATGAGATCACTTCCTATCTAAGGCAGTACAACTTTCAACCATAAACTAACCTATATAGAAAAGAATAAAGCATATAGACAAGCTACATCATCTGAGGAAAGAGGAAGCACACATGTACAGTGTGACTTTAAAACTAAACATTTCATCAGTCTAGCCACATTGACAAGAAATTTACAAATATTGCAGTATTAATATTAATAATAACATCATTCCAGAATGATAATGAGCAAGACATTCAGGAAGTTTCATGCCAGTAGCTAATTAAAGAGAAAGTTATCTGTACTTCTGTTTGACAGACTTAGCCAACACTTTAATCCGATCACATGCTTGATTATTTCTAGAAAATCCTGGACCTTGCTATAACAAACACAAGAAGACAAAGTCATCAATATCCCCCGCAATGGCAAAATACTCTTCATGATTATGTCTACGAGTTATGATTATATCAAATATTTAGGTGTGTATATAGAAAAGTGGAAGGAGAGTATTGACAGGTTTTGAAAGTTCTGCTCCAGAAAGGAGCACTATCACCAATTTCAGTCTAAGTCAAACTTGTTGCCATGGAAACACCAAAAATATTTTATTCCGAAATCCAAAACTACCAAAAGGCACCAGTACACCACCAGATCTATCTATGTGCCAAGTTTGATGAAGAAATATTGAACGGTTTTAGAGTTCTGCTCCGGAAAAGAGCACTACCACTAATTTCAGTCAAAGTCGAACTTGTTGCCATGGAAACACCAAAAATATTTTATTCAGAATTCCAAAACTACCAAAAGGCACCAGTACACCACCAGATCTATCTATGTGCCAAGTTTGGTGATGAAATAGTGAACGGTTTTAGAGTTCTGCTCCGGAAAAGAGCACTACAACTAATTTCAGTTTTAGTCAAACTTGTTGCCATGGAAATGCCAAAAATATTTTATTCAGAATTCCAAAACTACCAAAAGGCACCAGTACACCACCAGATCTATCTATGTGCCAAGTTTGGTGAAGAAACATTGAACGGTTCTAGAGTTATGATCCGGAAAAGAGCGCAACCACCAATCTCAGTCTAAGTCAAACTTGTTGCCATGGAAACGCCAAAAAGATTTTATTCAGAATTCCAAAACTACCAAAAGGCACCAGTTCACCACCAGATCTATCTATGTGCCAAGTTTGGTGAAGAAACATTGAAGAGTTCTAGAGTTATGCTCCGGAAAAGACAAATGTGCACGGACGGACGGACTGATGGACGGACTGACGGACGCACGGACGGAGTCCATTCTAATACCCCCCGTAAAAAGCTTTGCGGGGGATAACAAGCCATAATCACAAAGAGCTGCTCAGTCCTTAAAGAAGCAGATTCCAGGGCCATTCAGTGAAGGTGGCTCACAGGTTCAGTACCTCACTCCTAGGACAATGTGTACTAGATTTTATCTTCCAAAAATGAATTATCACAAACATGACTGACTTGTATTCACCACATGAGCTTCAGTGAAATAAACTAAACAACTAAAATTATTAACCTCCAGTGACGCCACTCTATTGTCTGCCTGGGTTCTCCTTTCACAGAGTAAACCTCAACAGGCAGTTTTGTGGACATTCTCCAAGAAATGCCAGGGAATTTCTACAGAATTGCCTGCAGCCGGAGGATGTTCTGAGGAATAGCCCTTGACTTTGAATTATTTTACTTGTTTTGAAGATTGACATAACTTTGTCTTGCTGTTACTGAATACGATCGTAAAATATCACATTATTGAAACCATCCAATATTATGTGCAGATTCCGGGTTTCAAACCTGCAAACCTTCGCTTAACTAGCTTATCCACTAGGCTACGAAGGATCACGGTGAAGAAAGTAATTGCTTGTCAGTGTGAACCATGTGTTCCTCACAAGACGAGTAGTGCGGGCAGCGCATGTGCAGGACACGGGTAGTGCTTGCAGATCAGGTGCATCGCGCGTGCAAGGCAAGGTATCAGCATCTCAGTTGATTTCAACAGTAAATACCAAATATTTATATTATGTCTAAAGCATATCTTTTCAGATAGCGGACCCATTCCAGAGGATGATATGAACGTTTGATTGACATACACTGATACCGTTAATGCCTCTTAAGATATCATTGAAACAAATTTTTCTTCATGGGGTGACCTTGACATGATTCATCAATGTGTCAAAACAACTGCCAAGGAGTATAAAAGGAAAATACATAATCTGAGTATTGTGTGGCCATAACCCGAAGGAAACTCTGATTAACAATGTGAAGGTGCTTAACAAGTCTCTGTGCCAATGTGCTATTGGTTGTGACTAAACAAGAACACACACACATAGCACATACCAGTCAGAGCTCCAGATAAGCTGCGTATTTGCATATAATACGCTGTAGAAAAGTTGAAATACGCAAAAAAAATATATACCAGCGTATGAAAAAACACTAAATATTTACGTTTACGCTATGTCAAAATAACAATGCGTATTTACCCAATACGTCAAAATCGTGTTGCGTATCGAATCAATTCAAGCCAATTGACTGCTAGATGAATTAAAAGGCAAGTGCTGCATTTCACAATCAGATTCAATTGACGGTGATATCTTAAATGAACTTGTAACATCAGCTGTTCGCGGCACCAAAACAGATGTAGACTAAGGCACATAATATTTCTCACAGCACGAGTGGATAAAGCTGTATTAGCTATTAGCTATAATTTAGCAATATTTTTTATTCATCTTTAACCTGGAGGATCTTGTATTATCTCTATTATCGAATGAACTCGTTATTTGAAATAAATACCCGGATTTTAAAAATATGGTGGGTATAAAAAAGTATAGATACCCACTTGAAATTGGAAATACCCACTTAGTCTCACAAGTATGGGTATCAAAAGTATGGCCAAAAGCTTATCTGGAGCTCTGCCAGTTAATGCACATTGTTCACAGCATGATAGATTACATCCTCGATAATCTCCAGGGTATACGTTCCGATAAATCTCCACTATACCCTGGATGCATCTACGGCTCGAGACGATGATTTTATTACCTCCCTTGGTTGGCTTTTTATCCAATCAGGTGTTTAAACTGGGTGGTTGAGAGTACCAATCACAACTCACTTTTACTTTTTAAATTATCTAACTGATTAAACTTGGCAACACAATAATATATTGTTGCAGAGGTACTCTGAAAGAGGTAGAAGGAGTTCTTGCATATATATCATTTAAAGTTTCAGACCTGTCAATTTGTCGGTATGTTTTCCCCAAAGTCTCAGTCGCACTGCGAACAAACATTCGCGGCTACGACTGCTATTTTTGTTGACACTTGCAAGCTCGTTTGTAACTGCAGCTTATCTGATTGGCTACTGTGAGAATGCGGAGCCAGCAAAGGGAGGTAATAAAATCATTGGGCCGAGCTGTAGTGGAGATTTATCAGAACGTATACCCTGGAGATTATCGAGGATGGATAGATTAATACAAAACAAGCATTATCACTAAGGTGACATAATCCCCCGCCGCAAATTATCAAATCAAATTTATAAAGTATTGAAAGTTTAAGATGAAGTTAAATGTCAACAAAAACATGACCAGTCAAGCTCTCATTAGTTGTTCAAACACACACATATCATAGTGCATGAAATATGCAAAACTAGTACTAAAGAAATTACTTATTGAAAAACATTCAAGGGAAGTCTTGAAAATCTATGAAGAAAATCCAGTGAACCGTTTTTAAAATATCTTGCTGACAATTCAGGTTAACAGGCTGAAATCTTCAAAGTGTCGTTGTGACCCTAACAATTATGTGAAGGTCACCCAAATTGACTGGGCCCTGGGCCCTCCCTAGGTGAAGCTTGGTGTCGAATATGAAGAAAATCCAGTGAATATTTTTTGCGATATCATGCTGGCTATCTAAACATGCAATTTAACATGCTGAAATCTTCAAAGTGTCTCTGCGACCTTGACAATTGAGTGCAGGTCACCAAAATTGACTGGGCCCTGCACCTTCCCTGGATGAAGCTTGGTGTCAAATATGAAGAAACTCCAGTGAATGGTTCTTGAGGTATCTTGCTGACAAGCATAATATGTAGGTAAATATGCTGAAATCTTCAAAGTGTCTCTGTGACCTTGAAAATTAAGTGAAGGTCACCAAAATTTACTGGGCCCTGCGCCTTCCCTAGGTAAAGCTTGGTATTGAATATGAAGAAAATCCAGAGAACGGTTCTTGAAATAGCTTAACATGCAGGTAAACATGCTGAAATCTTCAAAGGGTCGCTATGACCTTGAAAATTACGTGGTCACCAAAATCGACTGGGCCCTGCGCTTTCCCTAGATAAAGCTTGGTATTGAATATGAAGAAAATCCAGAGAACGGTTCTTGAAATAGCTTAACATGCAGGTAAACATGCTGAAATCTTCAAAGTGTCGCTATGACCTTGAAAATTATGTGAAGGTCACCAAAAGCGACTGGGCCCTGCGCCTTCCCTAGATAAAGCTTGGGTTTGAATATGAAGAAAATCCAGGGAATGGTTCTTGAGATAGCTTAACATGCAGGTTTACATGCTGAAATCTTCAAAGTGTCGCCATGACCTTGAAAATTACGTAAAGGTCACCAAAATCGACTGGGCCCTCCGCCTTCCCTAGATAAAGCTTGGTATTGAATATGAAGAAAATCCAGAGAACGGTTCTTGAGATAGCTTAACATGCAGGTAAAACGTTAAAGTCACCTTGTGACCTTGAAATGAAGGTCAAGGTCACCAAACTTGACTTGGGCCTTTCTTATACTGTGATGAACCTAGGTGCCCAATATGAAAAGAATCTAGGGAACGGTTCTTAAGATATTCCAATTCGAAGGGACGGACGGACGGAGACTAATACTATATCCCCTGCTTTGCGCTAAACGCGCGGTGGGGGATAACAATGACATTATTTCATTTTCACTGTAGCTACTTGAAATGACTAAATACTGACAGGAACATCTATCAAACTCTAAACATCATCATTAGAAAGGCGAGAATTTATGGATGTCAACTTCTGCATTTTGAGGGACGTGACATTTTGGAGTTTATTTTTATGAAGGAGTAAGAACATACTCTGAAAAGCTGAGTCCCTCAAAATAAAGAAGTTGATATCCATAAATTTTGAGGGACGGGACGTATTGGAGTATATTTTTATGAAGGAGTAAGAACATACTCTGAAAAGCTGAGTCCCTCAAAATAAAGAAGTTGATATCCATACATTTTGAGGGATGGGACGTATTGGAGTATATTGTCATCATATCCCAATAGAGTAGATCAATACTCATGCTGGTGATCACTGGATTGTCTGGACCAGACTCGATTATTTACAAACCCCTGCCATCGAGCTGGAATATTGCTGACTGTGGCATTAAACAACAAACAAGCAAAACAACTACTTACCTGTGTGATTTTTAAAGAAGACGATGGCATGTCTCGGTTCCTCAACAATGTCCACCTTTTCAACATCACATTCTATGGTATTCCCTGACTTCTTGCTTTCAAAGTAGAATGTTAGTGTGTCCACCGATGTCTTGGCGCTGATGCCATCGACACGGATACAGTTGGAGATGGGCACTGCTGACAACTCCAGGAACGCCCCATCCAGAGGATGCTTCTTACAAACACGCTGTATCTTCTTTAGGTCTGTGACAGGGTGAAATACAAAAAGACAAGCACATAGGACTACTTTCTCTCACGTTCAATTTCTGAATAGGTATGATATACAGTGGAAGCCTGATAAGTAAAATTTCAAGGGACTCGCCAAAATTGTTTACTTATCAGGTATTGTACTTATCCAAACTTATAAAAACCTGCAAATGACAACCATAAAACAACAATGAACAACTTATCAGGGCTGGCCTCCAGTTGTCAGTGTATTGTCAACTGCTTGACACCAGCGAGCTGTAAGCAGGATGTTTGTTTGACTGGAGACTGACACGACTGACCCTCATGTCCGATTATGTGGTGATCGCTAATTTAGTTATCCAGTCTCTTTTGTTAAGTAATTTACTTCCAGGGTCCACTAGAAGACGTTTAGTTAGGCGGTATTGTTTACTTATCCGAGTTTAGTTAACCAGACTCTAATAGTGATAATTAATGAAGAAAGTTGCCGGGACCAAAGAAAAGTGTTTACTTATCAGGTCTGTTTAGTTAAGCGGTCTTTACTTAGGCGGTTTCCACTGTATATATATCACATAGAAAAATAAAAACAGAATTGCCTTTTTCTCCAACGTGTTTCGTTCTTTATATATAGGTCTATATTAGCATATTCTATTTTTCTTAAATTCATATTATAGATATCCACATGTCTCTTAATAGTACATAATCCAACTTAATCAATCATGTTTACAAGTGTTCACACTGAGCATTCAATAGCCATGGCAGATTTATGTGAACAAGGCATTTTCTAGAGAATCAGAACATGGAGACATCTGATTTTTATTATACATCTAAATATTTATCCCTGGCTAATTTTTTGTGCTGTAGTTCTCAAAAGCAATGTTTCTTACATGAAATAAAGCTTAACACATACTTACTTAAAGGACCTTTTTGTTGATCTATATTTACAAGAACATTTCCAGGTTCCTCTCCATACATAACATCCTTGGGATGACAGGCCAGTTTTTGTTTCAGGAACTTCATCAAGGTCTTTTTTGTGGTTTTCTCTCGCAGTCCAGTGATCAAAAACTTGTCCCGATAGCGCGGCCGGGGTGGAGGAGGGGTGGGAGGTCTGTACAAACTCACCATCAACTTGTGCCCATCTACAGTGTGGCTTCGCTTGGCAACAGCTTCCGCTTCTGTCAAACAAATCAGAATTGGACATACATGACAAACCCAGTGAATACCCCCCTATTATTCAGAGGGTCCTAGTCAAAAGGGCTGCATGACAAAAGTGCCTCAAAACAGAAAAGTCAAAAGGCCACAAGAAAGACAAAAGGGCCGCATCAAAAAGTCAAAAGGGCCACACCATTTGTCAGATATCTGCCTATTTAAGAGATACTCCATTTGTCGGATACCTCCCTATTTATCAGGTACCTTGCTATTTGTGAGATACCTACCTATTTGGCAGATATATGTCTGTTTGTCAGATACCTTGGTATTTGTCAGATAGCTCCCCATTTGTCAGATACCGCCCTATTTGCCAGATACTCCATTTGTCAGATACCTCCCCATTTTTCAGATACCTCCCTATTTGTCAGACACCTCCCTATTATTTAGATACCTCCCCATTTGTAAGATACATCCCTAATTGTCAGATACCCTATTTGTCAGATACCTCTCTAATTGTCAGATACTCCATTTGTCAGATACCTTCCCAATTGACAGATACCCTATTTGTCAGACATTTCCCAATTTGTCAAATACTTCATTTGCCAGATATCTCCCCATTTGTCAGATACCTCCCTATTTGTCAGACATTTCCCAATTTGTGAGATACCTCATTTGTCAGATCTCCCCATTTGTCAGATATGTCCCTATTTGTGAGATACTCCATTTGTCAGATATCTCCCTCTCTGTCACATATCCCATTTGTCAGACACCTCCTTTTTGTCAGATACCTCCCCATTTGTCAGATACCTCCCTAATTGCCAGATACTCCACTTGTCAGATACCTCCCCATTTGTCAGATACCCATTTGTCAGACATTTCCCAATTTGCCAAATACCTCATTTGACAGATATCTCCCCATTTGTCAGATATATCCCGATTTCTCAGATATATCCCCATTTGTCAGATATCTCCCTATTTGTGAGATACTCCATTTGTCAGATACCTCCCTATTTGTCAGACATTTCCCAATTTGCTAGATACCTCATTTGTCAGATATCTCCCCATTTGTCAGATATCTCCCTATTTGTGAGATACTCCATTTGTGAGGTACCTCCCTTTCTGTCACATACCCCATTTTTCAGACACCTCCTTTTTGTCAGACACCTCCTTTTTGTCAGATACCTCCCCTTTGTCAGATACCTCCCCTTTGTCAGACACCTCCCCTTTGTCAGATACCTCCCTATTTGTCAGATACCTCCCCATTTGTCAGATACCTCTCCTTTGTCAGATACCTCCCTATTTGTCAGATACCTCCCCTTTGTCAGACACCTCACTATTTGTCAGATACCTCCGTATTTGTCAGATACCTAGACCTTTGTCAGACACCTCACTATTTGTCAGATACCTCCCCATTTGTCAGATACCTCCCCATTTGTCAGATACTTCCCCATTTGTCAGATACCTCCCTATTTATCAGATACCTCCCCATTTGTCTCATGCCTGAATACCACCAATGTCACCGATCTCTTACTCTCCAGGTGTTACACAGGTTGTTAAATGGATTAGTCTTGATCATGACCCATTTCCTAAGACAAATTATGAGAATTACATGAGTGTTTTTTAATGAATCAATGAAAAGAAAATCATGTATTTCCTAGGCTTGAATAAATATATCTGACAAGTGGGCTGTGATCGTTTGGACAATCAATATTCTTGATAGGGTAAAAAATCAGTACCTTCAGGAGTCTGAAAAACAATATATTTGGCATTTTCTTCTTTATCTGGAATGATTTCCTTCACTTCAGACGCCCCGCTTCTCCTCTTGTTCTCGAAGTACATTGTTAGTACATCATCACTTGTCTTCGATCCAAATTTCTCCACCTTCACAACTGTTCCTAATTTCTTTCCCTTCAGGATTGTTTCTATGGTAACCAGTCCTGGCTGTTTGGAAGGTAGATATTCAGAGACTTCAATCTTTTTATTTTCCAGGAGATGAGGAGCTTTCTGTAGAACTCTCTTTACAACTGAAAAGAAATAGCATAAACAATATCATCACCTAGGTACGGTTTATAGAGTGTTGTATCCACCTGCTAGTGATGGTTCCTCACCTTCACAGATCGATAATCTGAGTTCAATCATAAAATTGTGCAAATGAAACAGGCACTGATTATTACCACAATCAAGGATAATTGCAGTACATTGCAGTTTTATGAGCCAGGAGTCAGTCAGGAAACTGCATCAGTTGTTTATGTCTTGATTAACAAATCGAACAAGAAGAAACATACTTTCTAAAGTTTAATTTTTATGAATATTGCTGATGCAAGATCGATCTATTGACTGATAATTCGATCAATTACTCCAGCACTAATAAAACTTAATTACATTTGTTGAGCCTGAATGATTTTTCTGACTGGGGTGACTAAGTGCAATTGAAAGTGTTTGACTGCACATTCTGTATTACCTGTAATTCAAACATTATATTGATAGGCCAACAGATGTCCCTTTGTTTAATGTTGTTAGCTCCAGGTGAGCACGATCCCATGTAGTTATTTAGCTTGCAGTGGGTGAATGAATAAAACAGCTGATCAAGTGGCAATTAAGCTTGTCTCCCTACTCCTGTGTCATGACGTTATTCTTTAAAGAACCAAACACAATTTGTAGTATATTTAGATTTGCTGGCATTTCCTGTTAGCCTAACCCATTGAATCAGATGGTACTCCTCTCAAAACAACTGTGTCAATACAGGTAGTGAAATATTACATAAAACTGACACTCCGGCTGTATGAAGCAATAACTTACTTTCAATTGGAAATGTCAATATGAATTAAATATTTCTTGATCTGGTTAAAGTTAAATGAGTGAGTGAGTTTAGTTTTATGCCGCACTCAGCAATATTCCAGCTATACGGTGGCGATCTGTAAATAATCGAGTCTGGACCAGAAAATCCAGGGATGAACAGCATCAGCATCGATCTGTGCAATTGGGAACCGATAACATGTGTCAACCAAGTCAGTGAGCCTGACCAACCAATCCCATTAGTCGCCTCTTACGACAAGCATGGGTTACTGAAGATCAATTCTTCACGGACCTTCACGGGTGGTAATAGTTAAAAATACAAGCACAAACTATGACCAGGCCTCACAAATATCCCTGACAATGACACCCAACATATTCAGCTAAACAACCCAACATATTATGACACTTTAGAAACATGTTACGAAAACATCTCAGTGCTGTTCCTATCCAAACCAAACTGGGCACATTTGACCAACTTGTGATGTTTCGGCCTTTTGCATTGTTAAATAGTTGGGGTCATGCAAAATGTTGGTGCATTGCAATTTTCATCCAGTCATAAACAGTGTTCACCAAACTTGAAAACAATTCATGACAAGATGATTATGAGGGACACCTGTCCCATTTACACAGATATTTGAAAGCAATCCATCCATTAGTTATCAAGATATATGCTGAACAAATTTGACATAAGAATTTTTCAGAGTTCAAAATTAATTAATATGAATATAATTGCCAAAATAACAAGAAGACAAAGTCATCATTATCCCACCAGTACACCACCAGACCAATCTATGTGCCAACTTTGGTGAAGAAACATTGAACGGTTTTAGAGTTCTGCTCCGGAAAAGAGCACAACCACCAATTTCAGTCTAAGTCAAACTTGTTGCCAGGAAAACGCCAACAATATTTAATTTAGAATTCCCAAACTACCAAAAGGCACCAGTACACCACCAGATCTATGTATGTGCCAAGTTTGGTGAAGAAACATTGAACGGTTTTAAAGTTCAGCTCCGGAAAAGAGCACTACCACTAATTTCAGTTTTAGTCAAACTTGTTGCCATGGAAATGACAAAAATATTTTATTCAGATTTCCAAAACTACCAAAAGGCACCAGTACACCACCAGACCAATCTATGTGCCAAGTTTGGTGAAGAAATAGTGAATGGTTTTAGAGTTCAGCTCCAGAAAAGAGCACAACCACCAATTTCAGTCTAAGTCAAACTTGTTGCCATGGAAACGCCAAAAATATTTTATTCAGAATTCCAAATCTACCAAAAGGCACCAGTACACCACCAGATCTATCTATGTGCCAAGTTTGGTGAAGAAATAGTTAACAGTTTTAGAGTTCTGCTCCGGAAAAGAGCACTACTACAATTTGAGGCTAAGTCAAACTTGTTGCCATGGAAACGCCCAAAGTATTTTATTCAGAATTCCAAAACTACCAAAAGGCACCAGTACACCACCAGATCTATCTATGTGCCAACTTTGGTGAAGACATATTGAACGGTTTTAGAGTTCTGCTCCGGAAAAGAGCACTACCACTAATTTCAGTCAAAGTCGAACTTGTTGCCATGGAAACGCCAAAAATATTTAATTCAGAATTCCAAAACTACCAAAAGGCACCAGTACACCACCAGATCCATGTATGTGCCAAGTTTGGTGAAGAAATATTGAACGGTTTTAGAGTTCTTCTCCGGAAAAGACAAATGTGCACGGACGGACGGACGCACGCACGGACGGAGTCCATTTAATACCCCCCGCAAAACGCGTTGAGGGGGATACAAATCTGAATGAAACTTTGCACTGTTAACTATTACCAAAGAAACCACTACCCAAACCTCAAAACAATCCATTAAATGAATATAAAGTTATTGGTTGAAGAAATTTTCCATGGCAATCTTTCCTCAGTTCAAGATGATGTAAATTGTGCTAATTCTTGACAAATTAAAAACAGCATAACAAACCTTTTGCAGCACCTCTCCTAATAGGTGAACTTAAATTTGAAATGATACATGAAAATGTATTCAAGTTATTGCATGAACAAAAATTAACATGAGTTTTCTAAAGTTCAAAATATGTAAACTTATCAAATCTGATTTTTGCATCTCTCCTCTAGACAAAGAAGATGGTCCCCAAATTGAAAACAATCCACCCATTGCTTCTCAAGTTATTGGTTGAGCTATGTCTTTCAACACATGGATAGATGGACAAATTCCTTGGGACAACTATATAACGCCAACCTTCTTAGGTCTGGGGTACAATTAATTCTTATTTGTTACACTTGCCATCGCCTTGCTTGAAGTGGACAAGAGCTGTGGCTGAGTCTCTGTCAATCTCCACCAAATCCACATCGCCTCCTCCGCTTCTGCGTCGATTTTCAAAATAGAACAACAAAGTTTCTTCACCCAGAGTATCGGACAACCCTTCCACCAGTAGAACAAACACATCTTCATCATCATCACTATCATCCTGACCCTCATCTTCTAAAACAGAAAGAGACATTATCACTGATTCAAACAGGTCAACACTTCGGCAAAGTTCATACTTGAATCTTGTTGTTGGCAGGAAACATGCTTGGAAAAAACATTGAATACCACAGAAAATATGGTCATGATGGAGTGTCTTGCTGTCAATGGACAATATTTTACCGCATTTATGGAAACATCCCATCACATACATTCATTTATAAAAAAATGTTGCTGAATTCAATAAACAAGGAGTTGGTGTCCACAATGTTGCAAGTTTCTCATTTACTCACTGGAATGCCAGTCAAACAGTTCTATGGATATACAACTTCTTTATTATAATGTAGCGGCCATAAAATTTCCGAGTGCTGTTCTGGGATTTGAACCACGGACCTTCTAATCCGAAGTCGGACGCCTTGCCCACATGACCAAAGAGGTTATCCCTGTCAGCAAGCTGACAAGGTAAGGATGTTATCTGTGGGATGACTCCACGCCTTGCTACATACTCCCCCGTCAACAGAAGGCACGTCCCGAGTCACATAGTTGGGTACTGAGACTTGTTTTGCTCAAATTTGATATGAACGTGCTCAGCCCCACGTTGGGAGCCAATGTAGCGGCCATAAAATTTCTGAGTCTCGTTCTGGGATTCGAACCACGGACCTTCTAATCCGAAGTCGGACACCTTGTCCACATGACCAAAGAGGTTAACCCCATCAGCAAGCTGACAAGGTAAGGATGTCATCACGCCCTGCTACAATAACATAGTCAATGTTTCTGTGTAGATGATTGCTTAATAACAGCGTTAACTTCGAAACCAAAACATCTCAAATATTGTAAGAAGTTGTATATCCATAGAACTTGTTACCTAAATAATAACTTCACTATATTTTGCTGTTCAGTGATATGATGATGTATACACAGTCCATACAAACTGACAAAAAAAATTGGCTTCAAAATATATGGACACCTGCAACTATTGTACAGTATAACTTCACCAAAATAGAATCATGGCTTCAGTATCAATCTATGAATCCCTGAATGTTGATTGCAGTAGACCCACTGAAACACTGGTCAGTGACAAACCTGCACTAAAGTATGAGTCTTCAGCCTGTGGGCGACGACGGGATGACCGCGAGGGGAGAGTGTACGGTGAAACCTGGAGTGGGCGTCTTTCTATCTGGTGACTCCTTTGAAGGACAGCTTGCATGTCTGAAACATCATACACCACTGGTACAGAAGCTCACCTTTATTTAGTGACATAAAACATAAGGAGTGCTGAAGCGTCAAGTTCACATAAAAATAAACTATTTAGTTGGTTTTGATATTAAAACATTTTGTTGTACATTTTTTAATAATTTCTTTTCAAGCTGCATATTCTGTCAAAACAATTCTACATATCCCATAATAATCTTTTCCTGTTGCCCAAACCCAGGATATTCTACATTCATGTAGGTGATTTCAAGGTGAGCGGAAAATGAATCAGTAATACCAACCTTCTGGGTGTTCAAATGTGACAAGGACCTCCAATCCATCTTCCTCTGTTCTCTCAATGGATTTCACCTCCCCTCCTCCACTCTTCCTCTTGCTCTCAAAGTACATCTCCAGGACATCATCAGAGATCTCTCCACACCCTGTCACTACAATAGTGTCCGTTGACACTACAGGTGGAGGTGTTGGTGGCCGGGGCTTGTACAGGGCGACTTTAATGTCCGTGCTTTGTACTTTATGAGATTCCTTCTTTAACACTCGCTTGACATCTTCAAACAAAGCAGACACACATTTATTTACAGTGAATAAGAACATGAGTGCTTCTTCTGAAACTTTGGAGTTATTTGTGCTGAATGTACAGTGAACCAATGGAGCGGCTGACGTAGCCTCACTCTAGAATCCAGACTGGCATGATAACTGGCGTTGATTTGCAATGTGTTGTACGTATGTGTCAGGTATGTCCGCAATGTCAGGACTACGGGGCATGAATGAGGCCATCAGGTCAAGATCGACCCTCGCATGCAAAAATAATTGACTTTGAACACCATGTTCAACTTAAAACAAATCCCATTCAAAATACATGCTGAACCAATGTCCTCCCAATATGCATCAGCACAGATACTTGAGGGTCATTTTTCATTTTGATTAAAAGTCAACAGGATTCATGAGAACTATTTTATATGCTGTCATGTGCATTCAAAATTACAACCTCAGACAGAATGTGTACATCGTAGTGACTCTTTTCTGAAAAGATACTTTGCTGTGTATGAATACCAATGATCATAATGGATTATGATATAAACTTAACCAAACCTGAAGAGGTTTTCAATTCTTTGAAGAGAGTCGTCCTTGGGGTACATATATGCATTTTCTGCGTTGAAAATGTCCTGTGACAGTTGTATCAATGTTTTAATAAAAATATTGTACAATAAATAAAATCTTTTTTATCTATTATACGGCCCCCACCTCGTGGAGTTACCTCCCGCTACGCATGCGCAGCCAACCAGGTAAGCACCTAGGCCCGTATCATCATTCCTTCTGCTGAATAAATCAGTGAACAGAATTGCGGGAGAAGGGAGTGTTTCATTCCCAAGGACGACTCTCTTCAAAGAATTGAAAACCTCCTCAGGTTTGGTTAATTCTTTTTCATAGAGATCGTCCTTGGGGTACATATATGCATAAACACAGACTCCCAGGAAACAAGATCCTTGTGAGTTTGGAACCTCGACCCGAGAAAAAACAAGTCCTGGGTGGGTACCAGGTCGGATTTCTTGAGGTTGATGATCCACCCCAGTCGAATTAGAATGTCTATCACTGTGTGAGTAGAATCTAGGCTCGCTGGCTGAGTTAGCGCGCTGAGCAACCAGTCGTCGAGGTAAGGGTAACAACGCCTTCCTTGCGATCGAGTGTGGGTAGCTGGCACTAACATGAGCTTGGTGAACACCCTGGGGGCAGTGGATATGCCGAAAGGGGAGCACCGTGAATTGGTAATTCATCCCGTCGTAAGAGAACCGGAGGTACTGCTTGAACGATGGATGTATGGGCACATGTAGAAACGCATCCTTTAGGTCGATTGACGTGAGCCAATCGCCGGGCTGAACAGAGGAGATCACCGAGCGAAGTGTCTCCATCTTGAAGGATGGAACCTCTAGCATGCGATTCAACCCCTTGAGGTTGAGAATGGGGACGGAACCCGCCGTCTTTCTTCGAGCGAGGAAGCACGTGGAATAAAATCCGCCTGTTCCCCACCGGTGGTATCGCTCTATGTGCGGACTTGTCCAGCAAAGCCTGAACTCGTCTTCGCGGTATACCCGCCCTGACCTGACATGACAGCACCCGGAGTGCGGCGTATGCCGTGAATTCTGGCGGGCCTCGGCTTCCACAGTGGTAGATGGCGACACTGGCGGTGGACAGCACCCAAGTGTTGCTTGTTGCCTTCTCCCAGTCCGACAGGAATAGAGAGAGGCGGCCTCCCACTGGGACGTGTGGTAAGAGAGCGAGAGTGGTCCCGAGTAGCGGAGCTGACTGGGACGGACCCACGGCGACAGCCTGTTGGGTTAACGGGAGGTCGGGGCAGACCTCCCGCGCCCGTGAAAAGGCTGGGAGCCAGGCGAAGAGGACTGCTCCTTGCCCTTACCCTTGGCGGGATGGCTCCTCCGCCTACCCCTGCCCAGCGGCCGAAGCCAGCCGGCAGACTCGGGTGTAGGCTGCACCCCGGAGGAGGAAGCCGGAACGGGAGCGCGTGAAGCCCGCGGGTGCTCCAACAAGGCCTTAGAATCCTTGAAGGAGGTAGCTGCAGCGGCAGCCTCCCATATGACCTGCTGTGCCCCAGGAAACAACGTCGCTCCCAGACAGAAGGGAAGGGCCAGCAAGGTCTGCTGTGTAGCTGCCGAGTAGCGAGAGGTCGACAGCCACAGCTTGCGCATCCCCATGACTGCGCACATCACCGTAGACGCCGCTGACCACAAGGAGTCGCGCGCTAGGTGGGCCTGAACTTTGGATAGTTGGCGGAGGAGAATGACATGCGAAACGTCCCCAGCATTCCCCTCAGCCTCCAGGGCCGACCTCTGAATCGAGGAGAGGTAGGCCTCGTGGATGACAACCCGCACCTGCTGCATGGCATTCCGGTAAACCTCCTCGTAGGTCCGGTAAGCCTGCCGCAGGGGGGCGCCCGAGGGCAAACTGTGGCACCAAACGCCCTTGCCTGGCAGCCTTAGCTGCACCGAAGGAAGCCGAGCCTCCCCCAGGGCGACCGACAGAATCGTCCCCAAGCTGGTACCTCCTGACAAGCTCAGGCAAGTCAAAGCGGAGGCGTGTCCCAACCAGGAGGGGATCCACCACGTCCTGCACCAGGGACGGCAAGATGCGGAGCAGCGTCTGCGAGGGTTGCCTAGGGGCAAACGCCTCGCCTGGCAGGCGGAACTCAGCCGAGTCCGAGCGGCTGGTAGGCACCGCGGCCTGGGGGATAAACAATGCGTTGCCGCATTCTCGCGGGGCCGCCGAACGGAAAGCGCCCGCCTCTACTCCCTAACATCCATGGACCGGTGACCCAAGCCCGAAGCCAGAGGCTGGGTCTCCTCGCTGAAGAGGGACTCCAAACCCCCACCGGTGGGCGATGCCTAGCACCAGACACAGAGGGAAGGGAAGAGCTGAAGGAGCTCCCCGCTTCCAGCACCCGACACCACACTCTCGAACCCGGTCCCGAGACGCGGGAGGAATACCAGGCAGAACTGGTTCCTCCGCGCTCATGGGGCGGGACGGCGCAGGGACCGGAACCCCAGGAATCCTCAACGGACCCTGCGCCAACACCGAGAGGGGGACTGTGAGCGAACCCTCCCCCTCCCGGTAGCTGAGGCGTCCGGACCCGAAGCCAGAGGCAACGGATCTACAGACGCCTCCAGGCCAAGGGATCAAGCCGGGCTCGGCGATCCCACCCCCGGACTCTCCGTCCCCTGCTCAGAGTGGGCGAGGAACTCCTGCCGGAGACCTCCAACCGACTCATGAACAAGGGACTTCACGGAGTCCATGTGCTGCTGAAAAAGCTGTGTGATTACAGACATGTCAAAACCTGAATCAGTTCCCCTCCCGCCTCTCGCATTTCTCTATAAAAGAGGAAATCGGCAGCCCGTCTTTTCTGGGCTCGGGGGGAGAAGCCCATACAGATTTCACATATGTCGGGATTATGTCCGACTTTCTCTAGACAAACGAGACACTTGTCATGCCTGTCTGCTCTGGGTATACTTTGTCCGCAGACAGTACAACCGGAAAACGCCTGAAAGCAAACACGCAAGCATGTAGCTAACAGCGGAGCCAGCAGCATAAATATACACGTACAAGACATTGAAAATTACGCGCATGCTAATTACCGGAAGAAATACTTGGTTAAAACGCAATATGACAACCACGTGGCACGCTAAACTTCCCGCCATGGCAAAGCAACATGTGCGTAAACCACGGGAAAGTTAGCGTAAAATATTTAATACAAAGTCACAATTATGAGACAACCGACCACAAAGCCTTACTGTTCCGTTCATAGGACAAAATAAAGACCATACATACAGGTGGTGGTGTCCCAGACATTATTCTCTTAAACTTCGTTTTATGGAAGGAGTTCAGCTCTACACGGCACATCCGTTCAATGGAGTGACAGCAAAACGAATGATGATACGGGCCTAGGTGCTTATCTGGTTGGCTGCGCATGCGTAGCGGGAGGTAACTCCACGAGGTGGGGGCCGTATAATAGATAAAAAAGATTTTATTTATTGTACAATATTGTTATTAAAACATTGATACAACTGTCACAGGACATTTTCAGCGCAGAAAATGCATATATGTACCCCAAGGACGATCTCTATGAAAAAGAATTGACTATCTGTAGCTGGCCATCACACTAATGGGTCCTGAAAACTGCTGGAGGAGCTTGTATTCAATATTCAAACTATTGGAGGCCTTCATTATGAATCAGGGCTCGATGTAAGAGATGTTAACCTACTTGCACCAGGTGCAACCTGAGATAAAAACCTGGTTGCACCATCCAAATTCTGGTTGCACTGCTCTTATTGCAACATGTAATCAAAGAAATATGCTATTGAATTATTCAAAGTTTAGAAGAAAAATGAACTGACATAATTATGCTTATAATGTTATGTTCATTGTTGATTTATTTCTCAAAAATTTATTTGCACCTGGTGCAAGTTAGACAAATAACTAGGTTGCACTTTGTAATATTGGGTTCCACCAGTGCAAGTAACAAAGCACTAAATCGAGCCCTGTGAATGGATGTGACTGTTTTTCAACTTACATTCATCTGAATTTGTTATTGGGGATAGTGTCGGTCCATGGATTTATTTTCAGTTTTGTTCTTATTCTAAAGTAAACGCATGTGTTAATAAGCCAATAAACATCTTGCTTCTCAGACCACAGAAATATTGTATGATGTGAAATTACCTTCAGGATCTTCAAATATGACAAGAACCACTTCTGATCCACCTTCATTTCTCCTCTCAATGGATTTCACCTCTCCTCCTCCACTCTTCTTCTTGCTCTCAAAGTACATCTCCAGGACATCATCAGAGATCTCTCCACACCCTTTCACTACAATAGTGTCTGTTGACACTACAGGTGGAGGTGTTGGTGGCCGGGGCTTGTACAGGGCGACTTTAACGTCCATGCTTTGTACTTTATGAGATCCCTTCTTTAACACTCTCTTGACGACTTGAAATAAAGAGGAGATGGTCCCAATGTTAAAAAAAGTTGACAGTAAACAATTTCCATTAATTGTAAATGTTTGGCATGAAAGGTAGAAGCAATCGCTTGTTTCTCAGAGAAGAGGAAGACAGGATATGTGTGGTTATGCCAATGACAACACGTACAACCATATGGACAAGTAATACCAACGTTGGCTGGTACATATTTCATGAACCCGTAAATATCCAGGTTAGAATCAGTCTTCAGCAACCCATGCTTGTCCTAAGGAGCAACTAACAGTATCAGGGGGTCAGGCTGGCTGACTTGGTTGACACATGTCATTGTATCCCAAAAGTATTGATCGATGCTCATGATGTTGATCACTGGATTGTCATGTCCAGATTCGATTAATTACAGACAGATGCCATATAGCTGGAATATTGCTAAGTGTGGCATTAAGCAATAAACAAACATATTTCATGATCTAAAGTCGCCTGACTCATAACATGGTGACATGTCAACTCTAGTTTACCTTCAGGGTCTACAGATGTTTAAGTGCTGCATCCAATCCAGACATTAATAGAAATTAAAGGCAACACTCATCATACAAGAAACTACAGATTTCATGCTCCAGTGCTAATGGATGTCCAGGCTGACAGACGACGGAAGAAGACGATAACATACACCAAAGAGAAACATTCATGGAGGTGATTTCAGTGTGAGCAGAAAATGAATTGATAATACCAACCTTCGGGGTCTTCAAATGTGACAAGGACCTCCGATCCACCCTCCTCTGTTCTCTCAATGGATTTCACCTCTCCTCCTCCACTCTTCTTCTTGCTCTCAAAGTACATGTCCAGGACATCATCAGAGATATCTCCACATCCTGTCACTATGATTGTGTCTGGCAGAACAGCAGGAGCATCATCACATGGTGTTGAGACCTCTGACTGACGCCTCTCTGGCATGTACCTTCTCACTTGAATTACTGCACCTGATATTTTGTGAGTCGCCTTCTTCAACACTCCTTCAACATCTGCCATTGACACATCAATATATAACAGTTAATAATCATCAAAACAGTTTTGGTCTCTAGGTGTCAGTAATTGCAGCATCTAAGATAGTCGAAAAGATTTCCAAAAGATTTGTATCAAATCTGTGTATATATAAACTTATAAAATAGATATTTGACCAGTTACTATTCTACACTCTGAAACAGATAGCTAATCTGTGATGTCTGAATCAAACAAACTAGCTGATGTGTGTTTTTGTAGGTTAACATTTGGTTCACTTACAGGATACAGAATGTCAAGATTAATTATATCTGTAACAATCGGCATGGAAGAGACTACTTAGGTTTATACTCTATCATGTTCTACCCTGATAACATCAGGTACAAGACTGTTGGTATCTATACTCTATCATGTTCTACCCTGATAACATCAGGTACAAGACTGTTGGTATCTATACTCTATCATGTTCTACCCTGATAACATCAAGTACAAGTCTGTTGGTATCTATACTCTATCATGTTCTACCCTGATAACATCAGGTACAAGTCTGTTGGTATCTATACTCTATCATGTTCTACCCTGATAACATCAGGTACAAGACTGTTGGTATCTATACTCTATCATGTTCTACCCTGATAACATCAGGTACAAGACTGTTGGTATCTATACTCTATCATGTTCTACCCTGATAACATCAGGTACAAGTCTGTTGGTATCTATACTCTACCCTCTGCTTGTTCAAATTCCACCATAGCTGTTCCATCTTCTCTGTTAATCACATTGACAACAGGACCTCCACCAGATCTGCGGCGGTTCTCGAAGTATAGACTGATGCTGTCATTGGTGATTGTGGCAGGTAGTCCTCTTACTTCAATCTTCTGAGATGGAGTGATATCTGGAATATACAATGGCATAAATAAAGCACGAAATGGTTTCGACTTGCCTTACAACCTTATCTGTCTATATTCATCTTTATTATATAGGTAGTATTTTTCCTGTACCACGATTGGTCAAAAGACTGTCACATGATTGACTACAAAACACGATATTGACTTGAGTTTTCTGATAAATTACGATATCGACCTGGGTTACTAAAAATAGACAAAGAATCCCGTACGAAGGGGCTTCCCCCGCTTTTCAGCCAATCACATCGCTCGGAAAGATGGCACAGTGTGTGCATTAAAAGTTTATTGTAAAACCCGTTTCTCTTTCATTATATAATAAAACAATTATAGACTCTTGTAGAGGTTCGATATCGTTTTATTGACCTGAGAAAAACAATATCGACCTCGCAAGCTCGGTCGATATTGTTTTACTCAGGTCAATAAAAACCGATATCGACCTCTACAAGAGTCTATAATTGTATATTGGTCCCTTATGTTGTTTTAAGCAGTGAATCTAGCCAAACATTCCTCATTACCTTAAAAAAGTTCCTTAAAATGTTTCTGGTTTAATGACATCACTAGAATGAAATGCACATACAAAGAATGTAAACATACTGTGTGACCTTGAACCTTTAACTATTCGAAATGAAGTCAGAGAATATAATGATTGCAGACTTTTGATGTCTTATTATAAAAAGTCCTGACAATAATTTCTGAATGAAACAATTTAAGGAGAGATGTCAATAACCTTCAAAGTAACCTTGACATTTGACATAACCATGACATTATGACAGGTGTAGATATGGTTATCACATGTCAGTCTGCACATTCAGTGACTGGAAAATGCTTTGCTGTTTATGAATTAAATATGAACCTCAGAATAGTTTAGCAAGGTTTCCTACAATAACTCCAGTGATCTTGACTTAATACCGATGTCTCTCAAATGTCCACGGAATTATATATTATTATCATCAGATATGTCAAAAACGAAATATCAAATAAACTTAATATAACTTGCATGCTATAATAATTGTTCATTTTTCTCAGTTACTTTAAGTAAAGAATTGAATATGTTACAACCAGCAATATTATACCCTGGAATCTCCATACAACTGGACAGATCCTACCTGTCACATCCTGATCAGTCATCCTTGTTTCGCCAGGTGTTTCCTCAGACACATAGTCTTGTGTGAGTGTTTCCTCTGGGCTGCTTGCATGGTCTGTTGTTTCCTCTGTGTGTTGATGATGTCTGCTTGCTCCCTTCCCTCCATGGCCTGCTTCCACTGGACGTGTGACCGCTTCATCATCTCTTTCAGGTAACGCTGCAGACACAGCGTCAGTGATGGGGTACTTCTTCTCTGCCTCATACTGATCTGAAATATAGTGAACAGAAACGCCTCACATATCTACCATCAAACATACCAAGCTGAAAATAATCTTAATGAATATGATTACTGTTTGTGTGGATTCAATTTTGCAATTTGTATGAACATAACATACACACTGTAGTTGTTGTTGGTTTGTTTTTTAACGCTGCACTCAGCAATATTCCAGCTAAATGGAGCTGGTCTGTAAATAATCGAGTCTGGACCAGACAATCCAGTGATCAACAGCATGAGCATCAATCTACGTGATTGGGATACGATGACATGTGTCAACCAAGTCAGTGAGCCTGACAAACTGATCCCATTAGTCGCCTCTTACGACAAGCATGGGTTACTGAAGACCAATTCTCACCTGGATCTTCATGGGTTTACATGTTGTAACATATATGTATTTGAAAAAATTGGTACACTTGGCTCAAAATAAAGGACTTACATAGCTTTCTGAAAGAGGTAAATATTTTCAATATCAATCAGTCCATGACTGCTAACCTGAAACGTGTACAGTGCGCCAATATGAACACAATAGAGATAACCATCAACTGTTTGGTTCTACAGACAAATAAGTCACCTACCCTGCTCCAGTTTCAGCCTGCGTCCCTGCTGACCATCATATGGCGGGGGCAATTCAGATGGATACAGAGTGTAACCTGGGGGAAGGGGATGAACCTGTTGTTCTGGATAGAAGGGGTGTGCAGGGTATGAGCCAGATGGGTGTGGTCTAGGTGGAAGTTCCCTCTCAGCTGTGGAATCTGGTTGTGAAGTTGTACAGTTCGGGTCATTCTGTGCTGTCTGACCACTTCTGGAGGATGCATGTTGTGGGCCTGTCTGTCCACTTGTCTCCACACCTTGCAGGGGGATATTCTGCTGCTGGCTTCCGTCAGGCGGTGGGTAGTGCTGCTGACCATAAGGATCAGGCCATCTAAAGAGGGCACCAGTTTGTGGATGAATATACCCGCCATACCTGTAATCGTAATGGCCATACCTTGCATCATAAGGTGGTATATGAGTGTATGGATTCTCCCCTCCTTGAAGGGTAGGGATACGGATAGCCTGGCTGTCCTTGACCAGGCCCCTGCCAGGGCTGACCTGGGTAAGGATATGGGGGCACCTGTTGACCGGTGTGTCCATGCCTTTGTGTACTGATGTCCTGGCCACTGTCCTGAAACTGTCCTGGCTGACCTGTAAAGCCTTGGGGATATGACCCATCAGGACCTGTCTGTGTCTGTGGTTGCTGTTGAGTATTGGTGGAAGTGGCGTCACTGATGATGTCCATACCTGATATCATCCCATCTGAAGGCAGGTCTGCTTCATCAGAAACATCCTTCAACCCTTCTGCCATCCCAGCTGCAGGATCTGGTGGCTTCCTGTCCTTACCATCCATCTGAATAGCAGAGAAACAGTATCGTTTAAAGCAGTAGATAACATGAAGGTAAGATCAGACAAACTGGTTGTTTTACATTATGAGCGATCCATGTCAATATGTATGATGGAACAAGAAATAAACAGGTTGTTGTCAAGGTATCGAGTATCTCGCTTGGTGTCACAAACTACGGAAGATTGAACACTATTCTCATTGCTGCAGTTGGTGTGTCCACAGGACGAGGCAGGAAGTGACTTGGTTATTACATGGACTCTCCTATTTCAAAATCTTGGTTCAACCTTGTCTCACCTCTGATGTAATTTGTTCCTTGGCCCTTCTGCAAATACTGCCTATAGAGTTGTTTTAAACTTATTTTACGAAAACAATTAGCACACTAAACATTTATCTGTTCTTTGAAAACATGAAAGAAATGATCAATTTCTGGTAATTATGTTCTTATTCTAACATGCTGGTCTTCGAAAATGATCCCAAATCAATTAAAAAACACATTGGGCAGCCCATAGATACCTGCAATAATGACACAAGTTTAAAAGAGAAATACTGAAGTGTTTATTGAATCTTTGTCAACTGTGTGGCATCATATATGGCTCTGAAAAGAGATTAAAGCTGTATTTTTCCAGTCTTCACAATCTAGAAAATAATCAATAAAAAATGAAAATATGTGTGGCTTTAACTCATGTTAGAAAACAAAATAATGGATGGAAATATGCTTTTCAAACAACAAGCACCATGGCACAGATATGCTTTTCAAACAACAAGCACCATGGCACAGATTAAGACAAATTACGGCATATACCTACTACATGTTTTTTATATATAGAGTGATTACGAAACAAGTGGGTGTGGAATATGGAAAACATTCCAATGAGATATTTTTAAACATTTTGATTTATTCATGAGCGAAAGCGAATAATTTTATTGGTTATTTTCATCTAAAAATTAGTCGTGACAGAGTTGTTTCCCTTTCATTCTGTTTACATCCGGCATCGTCTGCCTGATTGGATCACACTCCTATCCTGTGTGTAAAAACTAGATCACGAAACGAGTGGGTGTTGAATATGGTAAATATTCCAACAAGATATTAATAAACAATTTGATTTATTCATGAGCGAAAGCGTGATCTATTTATTTCACACAGGATGGGAAAACACTGTGAGCTATGTTGATAAATCAAACAGATGATGCCAGATGTAAATAATACGAAAGGGAGATAACTACTTCATAGATGAAAATAACAATTAAACATATTCAATTGAAAAATAATAATAATCCCCAGGACACAGAATTGAATTTTAATTATCCACAATCCTAATGTTTTGTTTGGTTGACATCTTTGGTGAAAAACGGCTTGAATGGAATTATAACGCTAATTTAAAATATCAAGGTGGCAAGCACAAAGTACGGCATTATGATGTCACTATCGTTGAATAACCTAGTTTGGTTACACAACACTCGTTGGATAACTGTCAACTGGTTACACAAATATCCAAAATTATCTCATAAAGATATTCATAACACATGTGTAATAAATCGGGTTATTATACAGTTGGACGAGAACAATCTCAGAATAATGAATTAATGCTTCAAGATTTAGCTTTATCACTGCCTGACAATGAAGCAATGGTAACAATGTTGTTGCCTGTGTTCACTAAATGTTTGAGTGTTATGAATATGACGAGTCTGAACTATTACTGTGATATCACTGCATTAATGCGGCATACATAACCAGGTGATAAAGGCTCAATAGCATCACTGTATAGATTACTTTCCATCATTTCAACATTTATCTTATCAAATCAGTTGTACATATAACATAGCTGAATGTGATTGATGTATGTTGTTTAGATGACTTTCCATTTACCCTGTGATAGTGGTCTACAAATGGAAAAAAAAAATTTCATAATTCAAGCTCCTGACAGCAAACAAGAGTTGAGTAATGTATTTTAACACTGACTTTGATGCATGTGTCATCTGGAGCTCACAGGGTAATGTGGTCACAAACAGTTGAAACATTTGACCCCCTGCCCACATGGTCTGATGTACCCTGAGGCCAACAGGGCTAACTGACCTGCTGTTCCACCTAAACATTTCACCTACAACACATTTTTCTTACTGCTCAGTACAGAACATACACATTGTACGGTATTCCCTCATGACAAACCTGTGAAGATCTGCGTTTGAATTGGTCTTCAGTAACCCATGCTTGTCGTAAGAGGCGACTAGCGGAATCGGGTGGTCAGGCTCTCTGACTTGGTTGACACGTCATTGTCTCAAATTGTGTAGATCAATGTTCATGCTATTGATCACTGGATTGTCTGGTCCAGACTCGATTATTTACAGACCGAAGCCATATAGCCAAAAATGCTGAGTGCAGTGATAAACACCAAACCGAGCAACCAACCCTCGTGACAATGTCACATGACTCCATAATGAGACCATTCTATTGTAAAGGCATACAGGAAATAAAATCATATTAATTTCACATTAAAAAAATATCCAGTAAGGAAGTTGCTTAAAAACATTAGTAACCAAATATATTAAGTAGAGGGTGAATCATGTTGCTTGGTGGATGGGTAATGACAGATATTGTAAACCAAAAGTCTCTGTGTTCTTTAATCTGATTGGTTGAAAAACGTGATCAAATGGTATTTGATTCCCGGAAATTCTCTGCGTATTAATACATACAAACATCGCTCTCACCATTGTATTGTTACGTCTTCAGATGTGATGACGTCATTAAAATCATATTGTGACGTAAAGTCCGAATGACGTCACAAATGAGCAGTTCCAGATGCTACCATGGCAGACAGCCGAAACGGCCGGCTGATGACATTTCACTGCTGTACCCGTACTCGATGTCAATGAGAGCAGACACAAAAAACGTGTGTGGACCTTCGGTTTACTTTTGTGATTTTACAATGTCGATAAACATCATGTGTAACATCATTTCGGGTAATTTATTGAGTATTTGAAGCACAGGAATATTTCATTTGAAACCTCCGGCTGCCGCTGTCGGTTCCAAATGAATTCCCATGCTTCAAATACTCAATAACACCCGGAAATTGGCCAACACATGATGTTTATCTCCTAATTTGATAAAATCCTATTCCAGTAACATCTACTGGAGACAACTCCATCACAATTCAACAAAATTGAAGTACGTTAAGGTCCTTGTGAGACCAATGATTGACATTACAGAAAGGCACTATACACCCATTATTGTTTTGGAAAAACATTCACATAACTCAGAGGTTAGTGATTTTATGAAAATACAGCCAAAAATGCTGAGTGCAGTGATAAACACCAAACCGAGCAACCAACCCTCGTGACAATGTCACATGACTCCATAATGAGACCATTCTATTGTAAAGGCATACAGGAAATAAAATCATATTAATTTCACATTAAAAAAATATCCAGTAAGGAAGTTGCTTAAAAACATTAGTAACCAAATATATTAAGTAGAGGGTGAATCATGTTGCTTGGTGGATGGGTAATGACAGATATTGTAAACCAAAAGTCACTGTGTTCTTTAATCTGATTGGTTGAAAAACGTGATCAAATGGTATTTGATTCCCGGAAATTCTCTGCGTATTAATACATACAAACATCGCTCTCACCATTGTATTGTTACGTCTTCAGATGTGATGACGTCATTAAAATCATATTGTGACGTAAAGTCCGAATGACGTCACAAATGAGCAGTTCCAGATGCTACCATGGCAGACAGCCGAAACGGCCGGCTGATGACATTTCACTGCTGTACCCGTACTCGATGTCAATGAGAGCAGACACAAAAAACGTGTGTGGACCTTTCGGTTTACTTTTGTGTTTACAATGTCGATAAACATCATGTGTTGGCGAATTTCCGGGTGTTATTGAGTATTTGAAGCACAGGAATACAGTCAAATCCCGATGAGTCGAATGACGATGTCTCGAATATTATGCATAACTCGAAGTACCTGTCGGTCCCGACCATTCCCTTTAATAGTTGTCATTATTTGAATACCGGTTACACGAATTCGACTCATAAATACACACGATGAGTCGAGGAGAAAATTTGGTCCCATGAGATTCAAACAACAGCAATCTTGTATACATAAGCCGAAGTCAGTCAATGACAAGTGGATTGGTGTAGCAAACTGATTGAGTTAACAAACCAGCGCGGCTCACACCTTTCCGCCTCTGACGGGTGAGTTCAAAAGGCAGATTAGCGATTTTACGGAAATCACTGTCTGTGCTAATCAGACTGGAACTGATAAGGTGCCCCTATTAGTGATAGGGAAATCATTAGATAAACAAATGCTTAGGCGGAGGAATTAGGACTGGATCATCTTTTTTTCTACCCTCATAGACATACCTATGTCTCGAATACATCGATAAGTCGAATTTATAACTTGGTCCCCAGAGATTCGACTCATCGGGATTTGACTGTATTTCATTTGAAACCTCCGGCTGACGCCGTCGGTTCCAAATGAATTCCCATGCTTCAAATACTCAATAACACCCGGAAATTGGCCAACACATGATGTTTATCTCCTAATTTGATAAAATCCTATTCCAGTAACATCTACTGGAGACAACTCCATCACAATTCAACAAAATTGAAGTACGTAAAGGTCCTTGTGAGACCAATGATTGACATGACAGAAAGGCACTATACACCCATTATTGTTTTGAAAAAACATTCACATAACTCAGAGGTTAGTGATTTTATGAAAATACACAATGTGAATTTACAAAATACCTGGATTAGACAGTATTTGAAGATGTTGGTGATTTGTGATTGGTTTCATTTAGTTTTAGATACAAAAGAATGATGCCAGACTACATAAAATCATAACGGTTCCACTGTCTGACAATGACAATTGATTCAGACTGTGTCACAGGCCATGCATACCAACAGTATTGCTGATATATTACGTCCTATGAAACACACAAATAAGTGTAACATTGTGAATATTTTTTTTGTTTTATGCTGGCTACACAACTGACTTATA